CAGGTCCCTCGAGTTGTGTGCCGCCCCCTGGAGGTTGTTTGACACGACCCATCAGATTTGAAACTGGCCACGCTTTGGCTCAGCAATTTCATTTTACTGAATCTGTTCTGAAGCTATCATCAGAGATGTGCTTTTAAAAAAATGTATAGGCCAGGCATGGTGGTGCACACCTGTAATTCCAGTGCTTGGGAGGCTGAGGCAGGAAGATCGCCACAAGTTTGAGGCCAGAGCCTGGGCTACATAGTGAGTTCAAGGCCAACCTGGACTACACAGAGAGACCCTGTCTCAAAATAAAATAAAATAAAATAAAATAGTTTTATTTTTAATATTTCACAGGTGAAAAACTAAAGTTCATCAAGGTTAAGTAACTTGCCCAAGCTGAAACTCAAGAGTCAGTTCTCATAAAGTTCAGTGTTTGTCCCACAGCACTGACAAAGTCAGTGGATGGAAGAACCTCATCAGAACCTTGAAAGCGCATGTGACAAAAAGACACCCCCCCTTTAAAAAAGATAAAAAGCAGGCTACACCATCAGTCCTGACTACGGGTCAGAACTGGGGGTGGCAGCAGGAACTACAAAGAGATAAATATTAAAAATGAGCAGCTCTTCGCAACAAATTAAACTTGGGAGATGAAAGATAGGAAGATGTACACCTAAACAGTGGCATTATAGCAAAACATGCAGTGGTCTCTCCCAACTTATAAAACGAAACCAAAACAGCCTAGTCTGGATGATCTTATGCTTTGTCTATTCCTTTGTGCTAATTTTGACTAGAAAGTATTAAAGGACTTTTATTGTTAGATTATTCCTTTTTCTAATATAAAATATTTCTCTGGTTCTTTTAATGATTTTTGCTTTAAGGTCTCTGTTCTCTGATATTAATATTGCTGTACATGCTTTCTTATAATTAGTATTTGGGAAACTTTTTTTTCCTGTCTCATTTCCCATCTTTCTCTTGCTTTTTGTGTCTCTTGAAAACAACATCTAATTAAATTGTATTTTGTTTTATTGTAAAATAAATGAATAAAAATAAAATAAAATGTACAAGGCTGGTCCCTGAGTTATATCTACAGCATTTCCTGCTGCGTGGTAATTATGTCACCCTCAGAGACACAGCTCAAATGTCCACCAGCAGGAGACCGGTTACCGGTACACACTGAACAGGTTGAGGTTGGGGAAATAAAGATACATGTAGATATAATAACAGTATATGAAAAATATGGTGAATGCTTACATTTTTAAAAAACCTTATTGGGCCAGGGCTTTAGCTCAGTGGTTCTGCTACTTGCCTCAAAAGTACAAGGACCCGAGTTTGATCCCCGGTATCAAGAAAAAAAGAAAATGATTTTCTGGGGATTTAGCTCAGTGGTTTTGCCGCCTGCTGCGCAAGTGCAAGGACCCGAGTTTGATCCCCGGTACCAAAAAAAATTTTTTTAATAAATAAATAAAAAACCTTATTAAAAGACACATGTCATTAATCCCCCTCAAAATCCTTCCTGTCACTTTAAACACACTTATCCCATAGTCCTTGCCACTTTCTGAAGCAGTTCTGGAAGTCCTCCTTCATGAGTGTCTTTAGTTGCACTGTCAGGGCTGCCTCAGTGTCATGAATGAATTCAAAATGTTTACCTTTCATGGTCATTTTGACTTTGAGGAAGAGCCAGAAGTCGAACACATGAAAAAGGTGGATGAGGACGTGCCATTTTTGGGGGGAGGGGGGGACCTGGGATCGAACTCAGGTCCTTGTGCTTGAGGCAAGCGACGGAACCACTGAGCTAAATCCCCAGCCCTGACATGCCATGTTTTTACAAGTCTACCTTTCAATAAAATGGTACACTGCAGCAGCATTCACCATATTTTTGATTCCACCTCATAAAGACACTCAGGAAAGACTTCCAGAACTGCTTCAGAAAGTGGCAAGAAGGGTGGGATGTGTGTTCCAAGTGAGGGGATATTTTGAGGGGGATTAATGGCAATGTGTCTTTCACTGTAATGTTTGCTGTAGATAATCACTGTACATTTCTTTTTTAAATCCAGAAGACTGCATGCTTACCAAAATATAAATGATGGAGATCTCTAGGGCATGAAACGTGAGGGCTTTGATTTTTCACATTCTGCATTCCTGTAGAATTTACATTTTATTATGTGTTGCTGATCCAAGCAGAAAACAAGATTTGTTTGTTTGTTTTGGTTTTTTCCAGATAGGGTCTCACTTTGTAGTTCAGGCTGGCCTTGAATTCACTATGTAGCCCAGGTTGGCCTTGAACTCCTGGCAATCCTCCTGCCTCAGCCTCCCAAGTGCTGGGATTACAGGAGTGCATACCCCACCTAGCTAGCAAACAGGATTTTAAAGTGAGAGAAAGTGACAAGGAGGGTGGAAGGAAGGGAGAGCAATAGATATTTGTCCTTTGTGGCTTCAGTCTGTCCCCACTCCTTGAGACAGTGGGTAAGCCACCTGTTATAGAATGTCCCATCATAGAAGTCAGAAATGCTCTTCAGGTGCCAGGGCAGCAGTGGCCTTGCCACAGCCATCACAGAGCTGGTACCAGAGCCTGGCCCGCACCCCAGAGGAGCCCTGGGGTAGGACTGGGGTTTTCTTTCCTGTGCAACTGAGTCATAAATGAGAGATGCTAGTATCTTATACCACCCACAAAACTGAATAAGCCTGAGAATGGGCTGAAACCAAACAAACTCCAGGAACCTGAACCCAGAGCTGCCCATGGAGAGATCTGACACTCCCAGCTCGCGGTCCCTGAAGTTACAGCCATGTTCTTTGTTTTGTTTTGATTTGTTTTGTTTTGTGTTTTGAGACAGGGTCTCACTATGTAGCCCAGGCTGGCCTCGAACTCACAGTGATTTGCCACCATGGCTAGCTGACCAATGTGCTTTGAAGAGGAACTTATCAACCATATTCAAAGCTCCTAAGAGACCCAGCAAATACTGAGGAACATCTGGTAGTTTTGGGGGACGGTCCTGTCATTTGCAGGGAGGATTTTGACAAGGTAGAAGGTGTAGTGGTTTTGGGTTCACGTGGGTGACGAAATGGAAACGGTGGGTGCAGACAGTTTCCTAGCAACTGTTTTTGTTTCTCAGAGTTAGGAATTGAATCCAGCTGCTTGTGCTTGCTAGGCCAGTGCTCTACCACTGAGCGGCGCTGTTGAGCTGCCAGGGCAATTCTGATTACAGGCAGGTACTGCCACTCCCACTCTGCCCACTCTTGCGGCGACACTGTGGCTCCCTGCATCGTGGTCACTTTCTGAGCTCCGTTCCCATGTCTGCAGTGACACCCCATGACCACTGCGGTCCCACGATTCACATTGAGTACAGAATTTAGGGTGCTCCTGGCCGAGCCCAGAACAGTCGGCTGTGGCTGTGGAGCCAGGCGTGGGCGTCCCCCGCAGGCTGGAGGATGCACGCCTGAGAGTGGCCCTCAGAGTGGGACACACTGTGTTTTCCACGCCAACTTTTGACGGGGCTCTTGGTTTTTGTTTGGCTTTGCGACACTGGAAGTTGAGCCTAGGGCCTCTTGTGAGCTAGGCAAATGCTCTTCCACTGAGCTACACACCCAGCCCAAAAAGTCCTTGGCTTTGTATATTATTTAATAATCGTCATCCCAGGAGACGATATTTAAGTAAGAAAGCACAACCAGGAAGTCCTTCTGTCACCTCCAGAGCACAGTGACAGTGTCCAGGCTGCCCGCTCTCACCAGTGCTGGTGGCTGCCTCAAAGGTGAAGTGGAGGAGGGAGAGTAGAGACCTTGCCTTTATGTTTCAGATACTTCATATATTTAGAATTATTCTAATTTTATTAGCTCTAAAAATAACTTGCAGTATGCAACCTGTATTAGTCAGCTTTCCTGTTGCTGGGAAAAGATATCTGACACCAACTACTTAACAGAGGAAAGGTTTAATTTGGCTCATGGTTTCAGAGGGTTCAGTCCATGGGTTGACTTCAAAACAGGAACAGGTTAGAGGAGGGGCATGTGGGAGCAAAGCTGCTCAGTTCATGCTAACCAAAAGTAAAGAGGGTTGAAAAGAGCCCTAGAGAGAAAAGGGGTAGGAACAGATGTACAGCAGTCCCCAAGGCCATGCCTCCATGACTGACCCTGACACACCCAGAAATGTCTTTAGCTAATCTGCTAGACCTCTCTCTCTTTTTTTTTTTTTTTTTGGTACCAGGATCAAACTCAGGTCCTCTAGCTTGCAAGGCAGGCAGCGGCACCACTGAGCTAAATCCCCGGCCTGCTAGGCCTCTCTTAATTCTGTCAATTTAGCAGTCACAAAGTCACAGAACTTTTTTAATTTTTTAAAGTTTACTGGTACATTGTAGATAGACATAATAACATTCATCATAGGGAATTTGTACCTGTACATGACATACCTTGATTCTTCCTTTTTTCCCATTCCCTTCCCCTCTCTTCAACTCCTCTTCCCCTCCTTATTTACAAAAGCTTTGTTTCCATTTTTTCCTTCTTTTCTCTTTTATTTTCCCTTCCTTCCTTTCCCCCTCCTCCCTCCCTTGTTCCCCTTCTCATTTGAACATTTTCTTCCCATTTCTGAATATCTATTATACATTTTGGTCCTTATTTACACTTTCAGTTTCTCACACCAGAGAAACAATGTAATGTTTACACATGTGTGTCTGATTTATTTCACTTAAGAGTATGGTTTCAAGGTACATCCACTTACCTAGAAATGTCTCAAGTCTATCCTTCTTTATGGCAGAGTGGTACTCCATTGTATAAAAAAAAAACCCTCACATCTTCTTTATCCATTCATCGGTTGATGGGCATCTGGGCTGTTTCCAAGATTTAGCTATTACAAACTGTGCTGTTACAAACATCCGTGTGCATATATCGCTGTGGTAGGATGCTTTTAAATCTTTCAAGAAGATACCAAGAAAGGGAATATCGAGGTCAAATGGAACCTCTAGTTTTAGTTTTTTGAGGCATCTCCATATTGATTTCCACAGTGGTTGCACCAGTTTGCACTCCCACCAACAATGGAGGAGCTGAGCGAGCCACTCCCTTCCCTTCATTCAGCGGCGGGGCTCGGCCCTCCCGGGGGAGGGGGATTATCCGGGTTTAAACTCGGGAGGTCACGATGCCCGAGGCGGCGGACGGTGAGTTCCTAACTCAGTGAGAGACCATGGGAGGCACCTGGAGCAGAGGCGCCTGCCCCTAAACACTGGAAAACTGCGTTGTGTCAGCGCCCGCAGAGGGTTCCTGTCTCCGCCCGGAACTGGAACCGGAACCGGAACCGGATCCAGAACCGGCGCTACAGCCCCGAGCGCCCGCCCGTGCCCGTCCACATCGCCGCCAGCAGCAGCTTCGCCCCCGCGCGAGCTCCTCTTCCCCCTCTCTTTGCTTTCTCCTTTCCGCTTTCTTGCTGCTACTGACCAGTGATCTTCAGTAAAAGTAGCTACTACTACGTACCACCTTGGCAATTCTTTTTGTCATACACAGGAACCTGGACTATTTTTGCCCATTCAACTGTAACGCTACCCTTAAGTTACACCACCAGCCCAGAAAAATGATTTTTGTTTTTGTTATGTAATGGGGATGAACTCAGGGCCTTTAAAAAATGTTTTTCTAAATTTTAAAACAAAGGTTGGGCGTGGTGACGCATACCTGTAATCCTAGCATTCGGGAGGCTAAAGCAGGAGGATCGTTTGAGGCCAGCCTGGGCTACAGAGCGAAACGCTGTCTCAAAAAACAAAACCAAACCAAAAACTTAGGACAAAGTCTTGCCAAGTCGCTAAATTGTCCAGGCTGGTCTCAAACTTGTGATCCTCCTACCTCAGCCTCCCAGAACGCTAAGGTTACAGGTGTGTGTCACCACGTCTGGCCCTAACTGTAACTTTCAAACCTAACCCTGCGGCATTGGACCAGAGGGAGAAATGGGCGCGGACAGGGACAAAGAATAGGGAAGAGTCGGGCCGGAGCGAGGGCGTCCTGAGGGGCGTGAGGGGCGTGACCCAGGCCCCGGTCAACCCCGGCACGGTCTTTACGGGAGGGGCGTGGCTTGACAATTTCAGCGACGGGGCTCTGGAAGCAGCGCCAATCCCGCCTGGGCCCAGGTGTGGCCCGCTCCGCTGCTCAGGTTCTGCGCGCGCCCTGGAGCGGACCGAGGCAGCCCCGGGAGGAACAGGAGCAGGAGGCCGCCGAAGCCGCGCTCCCAACGGCGCCCGTGGGGACCGAGGTTCCGGGACCGGAACCTGACCTGCCCCGCGACACGAAGCCGCCCCCGCCGCGACCCCGCACCCCGCGGGCGGCGACGCTCGGCCCGGGTTACAGCGCCTCCCGTCGCCCAGGCTCCGCCCCGGCCCAGCCTCCGAGGGACGGCGCGGCGCCCGGCTCCGAGCTGCTGCCCCTGGCGGCCCCCGGCGAGTCGGCGCCCGGCGCGTGGGCGCCCGTGGACCTGCAGATGGACGTGCGCGTGACGCCCATGGGCGCTGTGCCGGCAGCCGCGCCCCCTCGCCTGCGCCATCCACGCGCTTCCGTCAGGTGCCGCTGCCCGAGGACGCAGAGCTGCAGCCGGGCGCAGACGCGCGAATGGGTAAGTGGCCCGGCGGTGCCCGGTCCCGCATGGCCTCTCCCACCCCGATCAGGGACGCGAGCGGTTGCCGTGGAGGAATAAAACCTTTCTCCCTTCCCCCGCGCAGCCCGCATTCCTGGTTAGTGCGCGCACACCATGGAGAAACCCGCGGAGAGGGCTTGGAGCTGTGACTCAGAGGCACGTGGCATCGGTGGCTGTGGAGGGCGCGGGTCTCCCGGGCTGTCTGGGTCACTCAGCGCCGGACTGCGGGGCCGTGTGTGTGTGTGTGTGTGTGTGTAGGGATCTAAACGGAACCCCCTCAAAAAAAGGGAAAGGAAGCCCTGGTCAGGCTGTGGGCGTGGCTGTGAACTTGGCGTGGGAAAGCCTCTGGAGCCTTGCGAGTCTGCGGTGGCGCTGAGGAGTTCGGAGGGGCCGCTGGGGTCCTCAGACCCTCGGAGGCGGCAGGGACTTGTGCGGGTCGGTGTGAGCTCGTTCCTGGCACGGTCAGGAACGAAAGTTGTAACCCATTTCCACGCTCTTGGCTTCAAAGGACACCAGTTTCTTCTCCTGGCTCTGCAGGTCAGAGTACGACGTGGCTGTCTAGTCAGAGTCAAGGTGTGAGCAGGGCCTTGGGAAGATTCTTTTCTGGAGGGCGTCTTAGCTTGTCCTCCTCTGTGTCCCTCTCCAGCTGTGTGGCTCAGTCTTCCTCCCAGGGCCACCTCTCTGTCAGTGTCCTGTCTCTCGTGATTACACCGGGCTTCCTCATAACCAGAGCGACCTCCCGTTCTCAAGATTTGCTAATTAGCAACCATAATTCCCCTTTGCCATTAGCCGTAGTCACTGGTTTTAGCGATCTAATCGCGCACATCTTTGGGGACATACTGTTCTATCTACCATCCCCGCCAATAGCTTTTTATCTGAAAAGATGTGACTAACCAGGTATAGTGGTGCACGCCTATAATACCAGCACATTGGGAGGCTGAGGCAGGAGGATCAAAAGTTCCAGCCCAGCCTGGGCAATTTAGCAAGCCTATCTCAAAAGTAAAAAGGACCAGGGATGTAGCTCAGCCTTGTGTTCAATCCCCAGTACAAGGGCAGCGAGATAAGGAAATGAGGAGCCTGTGAGGAGGTGACATGGTCAGATTCTTGTTCTAGGAAGTGATACTGAGAATTGAGATTGAGGATGGGGACCAGTTAGAGGAGAGGGGAGGCCTCCTGGGTGGCAGAGGTAGGAGCAGGTTCACGGTGCAGGTTAGAGGAAGGTCTGGGTCTGACGTTTCTGATGTGGGCTGCTAGGTGAGGACTGAGGTGGGAAGATTGTGGGAGAAATTAGTAAGGAGGTCCCTTTGGGAGCTCCAGGTACAGGCATCATTAAAAGGAAGCAGAAGGAACAAGCCACAGGCACTGGGGAAGAAAAACGTAGGTGAGGGAAGAAAACAGGGAGGCAGGGCAGGAGAGGGGCGTTTCAGAAGAAAGTGGGCACTGTGTCCAGCATGTGGTGCAGCTCCAGACAGAGGCGGACTGGGACTGGGTGACAGAATGGGCACATGAAGCAGTGGCTGGGTCCGATGTGGGTGATGGGGAGGCAGAACAGCAGGAGGCAGGCGAGATGCAGACCAAATACACTGCCAGGTGCTGCGTGGGGCGGTGGCTTTGCTCTCGGGGAACAGTGGGCTGCAGAGCCTTGGGTGGCAGGGCTGGGAGGGCAAGCCTGAGCCCGGTCTGTGGGATCCTGCCAAGTGCCTGCTGCCCCAGGATCAAGCCGGTCCCACATCAAGACAGGTGAACTAGGTAAGGCGGGGAAGGCAGCCATGTGGGAACTCACAGCCCAGCTGCTTTGTGTGCCTTTGTGGCTTGGGAGGGGGAAAGCCACTGCCTGCTCTCTCCCCTCACCTGTTTAGGCAAGTGTCCCAAAGGGCCTGTTCAGCTGGAAGTGTGGGCCGCCTTGGAGGTGCTATGATCGGCAGTCCTCGGTCTCCCCATGTCACGCAGCAGGAAAGAGCTCGGTCCTTGGATGGAGGACATCTCTCCCTCAGGTCTTGGTGTGGAGTCACCTTCTCTGATCCTGGCAGGCGTCCCTGTTACACACTCATTTGGCCCCAACACCGGGCACCTCTCAGTCTGCATTGTGGCCAAGAGAGGTAAGGGCACGGCGGCCTGTGGGACTTGAGAATGGAAACTGAGGCTTCGGGCTGTGGGGAGAGGGTTCTTCTGGAGAGGCTGGGCAGCCCCTGACCCCAAAGGTAGTCAGGGGTCGAGATGGCACTGGAAGCCAGGATGTGCTCAGCACCCAGTGTGGGGAGGAGAGAGAGATGGGGAGAGACTGATATCGCCATAGGAGAGGAGCGAAGCCTTGGGCACAAGTAGGCTTATCCTGATGGCATCTCACTACCATGAGCCCCTTTGTATTTGTTTTGTTTTGTTTTTTTGGTACTGGGGATCGAACTTGGGTCCTTGCGCTTGTGTAGCAGGCGGCAAAACCACTGAGCTAAATCCCCAGCGGCAGCCCCTTTGTATTTGGAAGTTTATATAATTTTTTTAAATGGGGCCAGGTGTGGTGGTACATGCCCATAATCCCAAGACTCAGGAAGCTGAGGCAGGAGAATTGCCTTGAGTTCAAGGCCAGTCTGAACTACATAACAAGACCCTGCTTCAAAAAACAAAACAAAACTAAACAAAAAAATTTTAGAAGATGGCTCACAAGTTGAATAAACTTTAAACCTTGAGAAACCTAGACCCTTCCCCACCCCATGTCCCACGCATTGTATCAGATGAGATGGTAGCAGGTTGTGTTTTAGCTGCAGAACAGATGTAGAAGATGCAGGTAGGAGGAACAGGGAAATGCCGAAGCGGGTCAGAGAGGCCAGTCCAGGAACAGGGACAATGGCAGGGAGGGACAGGCCCAACTCTGGTCCTGTTGCTGCTGTTCTCCCTGGGGGCCAGGCAGCCTTCAGCCCTCAGGAGGGGCTGGCTGGAGGGCGAGCAGAATTAGACGTTCAAGGGGATTTGACTTGTCTGTGTCAGCACTTCCTCCCGGGAAGGTGTGCTGTTTGTGTGGTTTGTGTACCCAAGAAGCACTCTAAAGAAGGTGCGGGGTAGATGGCCGCTTCGGCTCTGCAGAGGGCCCCTTCCAAGCTCAGCAGTGTGGAATCGGCATGGGGGAAGTCTGTCACTTCCTGGGCTTCTTTGCCTGGCTGTTTTCTACAAGTCAGAGCTAAATGTTCAGCCACAATCATTACATTTATATAGGTGATGGGTTGACTTATTTTCCTTGTCTTCTCCAGGCTTTTTAGCTCTGCATTTATCATTTTAGGATTCCCAGTTTATATGTATCTCTTATTCCAACCATTTCAAATTACTCCTTGTTTTTGGTAAGAATTTTATTGCCATATATTCATCAATTTAATGGATTTTAGTATATTCACAGAGTTGTGCAGCCACCAGCTTAATCAGCGTTAGATAAACTATACCCTTTAGGTCTCTAACCTCTTGTCCCACTATTTATTTATTTATTTTTCAGGTTTTTGGGGTTTTTTTGTATCGGGGATCGAACTCGGGTCCTTGCACTTGCGCAGTAGGTGGCAAAACCACTGAGCTAAATCCCCGGCCCTTTTTCAGTTTTTTGTTTGTTTGGTTTTTTTTGGTACCAGGAATCCAACTCTGGACCTTGCGCTTGCAAGGCAGGCGCCGGAACCACTGAGCTAAATCCCCAGCCCTGCGTGTGTTTTTCAAAAGAACTCGGTGCTGCTGCTGCTGCAGACCTCCCACCGCTTGTTTCCGGCCTTTGGAAAATAGTGATGATACCAGGACGCTGTGTGATCTGTGATCACTGCAGCTGCTCACCCCTGGGTCTGGGCGATCCCAGGGCCCCAGCCAAAGGGTACTGGGAGAGGAGTTTCTTCCTGCTGTACTTGGTTCCAGCTTCTGTGTCCTGAGAAACCCAACTCAGCTGTAACTGTGGTGCCCAGGGTTAAGGATTTGCAATCATTCCTCCTGTCTTCATTCCTCTGGCTTCCCTGGCCGCTCTATAACAGGCCAAGTCATGGCCTTTAAAGGTGCACCCTGCCAGGCATAGTGGCGCATGCCTGCAATCCCAGCACTAGGGAGGCTGAGGCAAGAGGATCACCATGTGTTAGAGGCCAGCCTGGGCTACATAGTGAGTTCAAGGCCAGGGTGAACTACATAGCAAGATCCTGTCTCAAAAATAAAAATTAAAAAAATAATAAAGGTGCGTCTTGTCTCAGCCTTTGCCAGTGCCATTCCTCCCCTAGAATGCCCGCCTGTCTCTGCTGCCCACTCCCCACCTGAAGCCCCTTCCAGTCACACGGCCACTGGGTCCTTGGGGGCAGGTGCACTGCTGCGGACACTTGGGGCTGTGGCGTGGCCAAGGTCTGCACTGTGCTCTTTCCTGCCTTGTTCACAGCAACCAAGGCCCGGAGCACAGGAAGAGGCAGAGAGGGATTTGGTGGGAAATTGTGAGTGGACTGGGGACTAGAACCCGGGCCTGCTGAGCCCCAGTCTGGCCCTTCCTGCTGTCTTTCTCGGCGCTGTTGTCCCAGAAGTGCCCTTTCTGTTAGCGCCTTGGGCACGTGGCTGTCCCCAAGTCCCTGTGGTGCCTGTGCTGGTCTCCCACAAGTGCTCAGTAAATAGTGCCAACCGATCGTGTGCTCTCTCTCCTCTGTAGACAGTTTACCTCCTCCAGAAACTGGAGAAGCAGAACACCTTGCGCCTTCCCCAGTGGAGTCAGGGCTGGGGGTGGCAGTGCTGCTGTGCCCGCCGGGGGATGTGGCTGATTCTCTCAAGTCTCCGGCTCACCACCCCCAGGCCTGCCGATGTATGTGAAGTGCCTGCACTGGGCCCTGGCCGTCATGGCCGTGTTCCTGGTGGGCTCCTCCGTGGCCACTGGGGCCTTGGCCTTTACTGCAGGTATGGCGTCCCCTCCCCCTGCTCCCCAACATGGGGCCACCTCTCACCCTGTGCACTTGGAGAACGAGAATGAGACACCCACTGGGGAGATGCCACATGAAGATGTAGGTTTCTTGGCCCCATCCTTCCACTGGACATAGCTTTCGTCCTGACTAGTAATGGACGACAGCCCTCCCCTGGGTATGGGGACTTTGTGCAGTGCACAAACTGTGCAACCTTCCTAGGACCCTGCCCACCTTCCTTCCTTCCCCGAGACTTGCCAGCTCCATGCCACTGGGTCCATCCATTCCTCAGCCAAGGTCAGGGCCAGTGCAGGCTTAGCTCTGTGCAGATGCCCCACCCTGTGACTCACCAGCCTCTCCACTTGCAGGAGGAAGGTGCCGGCGCTGCCCACAAGGCTGGGCTTGGTCCAGGGAGCACTGCTATTACCTCTGTTCACGAGCACTGGACTGGGAGGCCAGCCGGGACTCTGCTCAGGCCACCACGCGGCCCTGCCCTGCCGAGGAACACCCAGGTGAGAGGGGCCAGGAAGGGACGGGTGTGACATCCCAGATCCCAGGGCCCTGTACCGGCCCTCTAGAGCCAGGTCCTCTGCATTAGACAAGGGCCCAGAGAAGCAGAGTGATGGCCTCAGGTCTCCACGGGATGCTTCTATGCAGCCTGGCAGGGTTTTAAGATTTTTATTTATTTTGGGTTTTTGAGGTAGGGTTTCACTATGTAGTCCTCGATCCTCCTGCCTCAGCCTCCTGAGTGCTGAGATTACAGGTGTGTACCATAACACCCAGCTCCTCTGTATATAGCTTATTCTGCTTTTCATCTCTGAAAAATCTGAGTCTTCTTAATTATAACAACAATATGCCATTGAGGATGTTTTTTTTCATTTGTTTCTGTGGCCTTATTTCTAGCTTTAAGAACTCATTTTGGTACTTTAAATACTCCCTTTTTCAATCCCCAGTACCATACACGTACACACAAAAACTAGCCCCCCTCCCCTTTTTTGGTATTCTGCTCCTGTTTCATGGATACAATATCTTCATATCTTCTTGAGGAGATTAATTATAGCGGTTTTGAAATTTTACTCTTCTCCCTGCATTATGAGTTTTTCTTGAGTACCATTTATTCTGTTTATCATTTTTTGTTTTGTTTCCTGATAGAAAATTGCCCCCAAGGTGGGCATGGTGGTGCACGCATGTAATCCCAGCACTTTGGGAGGCTGAGGCAGGAGGATTGCTGTAAGTTTGAGGCCAGCCTGGACTACACAGTGAAACCCTGCCTTAAAAAAAATGAGGGGAGGGCGAGGGGTTTAGTTCAGTGGTTCTGCACCTGTCTGGCAAGCGCAAGGTCCTGAGTTCAATCCCCGGTGCCAAAAAAAAAAAAAGGGCTGAGGATTTAGCTCAGTAGTTCCGATGTCTGCCTCGAAAGCACAAGGTCCTGAGTTCGATCTCCGGTACCAAAAAAAAAAAAAGCTCTGGGGACCTAGCTCAGTGGGCTCTGGATTTAATCCCCAGCACCCCCCCCCAGAAAAAAAGAAGAAAGAAAGGGAAAAAAGAGAAGGCAGGGTCATTGTGGTAGTGCTGCAAGCCTCCCAAGAGGCCACTGTTAAACACAGAGCTAAACTTTGCTGGCTGCACCCTGGGCCAGGCAGTTCTGCAGCTGCAAGGCTGTTTATTGAGTGTGTACTACGTGCTGATGGCCTTACACGTAACTGGCCTCATCACAAATGCTTCCCTGGTCTAGAGAGCCATGCTGCAGCTCTCAAAGCCCAGCTGCCTTGCTGCCCAAGCCAAGGGCTGCTGTCCTGGCCCATGCTCTCCTGCGCTTAGTGGCCTTGTCTGAGCCCTGAACAGACTTGTAGCTCCAAGGGGATGGTGTGGGCAGCAGACTCGGTCAGGACTGCAGAACTATGGTGATGATTTCCATTTTCTGGGGATTTAGCTCAGTAGTTCTGGCACCTGAGCGCAAATCCAAGGTCCTGAGTTCGATCCCTGGTACCGAAAAAAAAAAAATCCATCTTCATGTATTTTTCTTAGCAATGATCACATTCATTGTGTGAGTTGATACATGTACAGAACACATCTTCATTTTCTTCATCCCTTTCTCCTCCCCATCTGTCCCCCTCCCTCTCTTAGTCCCCTTCCCACTAGCAAAAGATCTCTATCTCCCTGTTTCCTATCCTGTCTTTTATTTTGCTCTTTAATTTATTTATGCTTTGGGCTCCTCATATAAGAGAAACTATGCAATATGGTAACTTAAACAATGTAGTAAATAAGAACTGACCTTATTTACCCCATTCCACATGTGGCCTCCATCAGTGTGAATAAACACTGCTGCTGTTTTTGCCAGCACTGGGGATTGAACTTGGGGCCTCATTCATGTGAGGCCAGTGTTCTACCACTGAGCCACACTCTCAGCCATAGTAGCTGGTGCTTTTGTGTGTATATATGGTACTAAGGAGTGAACCCAGGGACTTTGCACCAAGCTACATCACCAGCCCTTTTTTATTTTTTGAGACAGGGTCTCTCTAAGTTGCTTGGTTAGGCTTGAACTTGTGATCCTCCTGCCTCAGCTTTTCAGACTATTGGGATTACAGATCTTCACCACTGTGTCTTGCTCCGAGTTTATGCTTCTTGACATCGTTATGAACAATGTGTATTTGCCGGCATGCTCTGTTGTTTTTGTTTTTTGTTGTGCAGTGCTAGGGATTGAACCCAGGGCCTTGGCCATGCTAGGCAAGCACTGTAACACCAAGCTACATGCTCAGCCCCTCTCCTTTTTTTAAAACTTGGCTGTCTTCATGTTGTCAATTTTAACAGCACTGTAATTTTCCACTGTGTTGACATCTCATAATTTGCCTGGTTACTTCCTAATTGCTGGTCATTTGGGTACTTTCTATTTTCTCTTTTCCTATAAATAGCACTGTGTTATCTTTGGGTTAGTCCTTTGCCTCCCTTTATATTCTTGAGCTTATTTCTCAAAGTGGAGTCACCCACCCAAGCAATAGGACTGATACTGCTGCTCTTGTTACTAAATTATGTCCCAGAAAGAAAACTGATTGGCTATATTAGTCCCCCACTTGCCACCTGCACCACCACTGGGCCCTCAAACTAGGACCTAAAATATTTAAATGTTTTTCCCAGTTTAAAAAGTCTTGAGGGGCCGGGGATTTAGCTCAGTGGTGCCACAGGCCTGCCTTGAAACTGCAAGGTCCTGAGTTCAATCCATGGTACCAATAAAGAAAGAAAGAAAGGAAGGAAGGAAGGAAGGAAAGAAAGAAAGAAAGTAAGAAAGTCTTGAGAGGGTCAGGGATTTAGCTCAGTGACATCAAGACTGCCTGGCAAGCACAATGTCCTGAGTTTGATTCCCAGTACCAAAAAATTTTTTAAAAATAAAAAATAAAATGTCTTGGGTGTTTTTTGTTCATTTGTTTAGTTTGGCTTGGTTTTTTTTTTTTTTTTTTGGTACCAGAGATTGAACTCAGGTCCTTGCACTTGCACAGCAGGTGGCAAAACCACTGAGCTAAATCCCCGGCCCTTATTTTTGCTTTTAAAAATCTGATTCTGAGAAGGAATCCATGGCACAAAAGAGGTCACAGAGCCCCTTGATGGGTGTTGTGACAGGTGCTTGGTCTGCATGTTTTTTGTTTTTTGGGATTTTTTTGAGACAGGGTCTCTATGTAGTCCTGGCTGGCCTTGAGCTGTGGTGGTCCTCCTGCCTCAGCCTCCCTAGTGCTGGGACGACAGGTGTATGCCATCCCACCCAGCTGGTCTACATGGATCTTCTACACCTGCCTTCTCATTTCTTCCATCTCTGTATTGCCGTATAATGCATTCTAAGCATTTTCCTCTGAATATTTTTTTAGCAAAATATTTACTGGTACATCTTAGACACAAACTTTGATAACATTCATCATAGGGAATTTGTACCAGTACATGATATATCTTTTTTTAGGAGGAGGTACTGGGGATCGAACTCAGGACCTTGTGCTTATGAGACAGGTGGCAGAGACACTGAACTAAATCCCTGGCCACGTGATACATCTTGCTGCTCCCCCCCGCCCCCCGCACCATTTTTCCCCACCTTATGGACAAAAGCTTTCTTTTCATTTTTTCAACTCTGTTTCTTGTCCTCAGATTTATCTTCTAGTTCACTTCATTCTCTTTAACTGTTTCTAATTTATTTAACTTGCCTGCTTAACTTTAAATACCAACAATTTTTTATTTCTAGAAATTGGAGTTTTTTAGGGGGAGAGGGTTTCAAAAAACTCCAACCAAAGCCAGATATGGTGGCCCATGCCTATAATCCCAGCACTCAGGAGGCTGAGGCAGGAGGATCTCTTCAAATTCGAGGCCAGCCTGGGCTACAATAACAAGACTCTTGTCTCAAAACAAACAAATGAACCCCAGCCAGTCTCTTCATAGTGTTCTCTAGTTCTCAGCACTTCTCTGTCTTTGATCTTCTCTGCATCAAGCTCACCTGAGACAACAAAACTTTGAAATGAGGGCGTCCCTATGGGACTGAGCCCTGGGCTCACGGTGGCACCTGGAACTTTCATCCGCACATGGCTTGCACTGGGCTCTACTTTCCGACCAGGCTGCATTCCCTTTGCTAACAGGCCCTCGCTGCAGACACATACAGCTTCCAGAACACCGAGACCAGGCTGAGGACGAGCCTCAGCACAAAGCAACACTAAGACAAACACACTGTTCTTCCAGAGGCCACTTTTCCCAAGTCCTGCTCCCTGCAAGTTGCAGGGCAGATGAAATTGTGTGATGCCCTCTTTTTCTGTCCTCTTGGGTTAGGGAATCTGGAATATGGTCCTCGATCACTGGAAATGGTTCTTGGGTCCCATACGTTAGTCACAAGAACCACAGGCTCTGAATGTTCAAGGTCTGATTGGCTGTTTCGAAATGATAAGCTTTTTTTGTTTTATTACCGGGGAATGAACTTGGGATCTCGAGCTTGCCAGGCAGGTGCTGTGCTGCTGAGCTACATCCCCAGCCCTAACCCCCACCCCCACCCCCAGTACTGGGGATTGAACTCAGAAACCTTTTGCTTGCTAGGCAGGTGCAGCAGCACTGAGTTAAATCCCTGGCCCTCAGAAAGCTAAGTTTATGAGAGGCCACTGTCACAATGGAGTGGCCAGTGTGATCTGTGTGGCACCTATCAACTGCTCTCCTTGTTTCATGTTTCCAGTGTGCCCCATCTGCAAAGAGGACTTTCAGAACTGCTTCAGAAAGCGGTAAGGATGATGGGGTGTGTCTGAGGCAAGGGGGAGGATTCTGAGGGGATTCATAGCAATGTGTCTTTTACTTTTTTTTTTTTTTTTGGTACCGGGGATCAAACTCAGGACCTTGCACTTTTGAGGCAGGCACAGTGCCACTGAGCTAAATCCCCAGCCCTTGGTTTTATATTTTGAGATAAGGTCTCACTATGTAGTCCATGCTGGCCTCGAACTCGCGGTGATCCTCCTGCCTGAGCCTGCTGAGTGCTGGGATATAATACATTTTTAAAAACTTAAGCATCACTGTATTTTTTAACTACACCTCGTGTATCTGCCTCATCAGGGGTGAACGCAGGGCAGGCTGGGCATGAGTATCTGTCTGCACCAAGGCTCACTGTCACTAAGTGGCTATGGGACACTGTGACTTTAGCCCTGGTGTAATCAGTCCCAAATGTCTGCCTGTATTTCTGCCATTCACATGGTCTCCTGTTACTGCTGACCCCTCGTTGCTCTCACCTGTCCACACTGCCACCCTTTCCTGACCACCCAGGAGTCAGTCACACAGGTGCTGGGCCTGGCTCCTCCATTCTGTGCCAGGTTCCGCCCATACAGGATTGGTGGCTGGTTGAGCAGCCCTAGGAGTCCATCCAGGTAGCCGACCCACTCTGTCTAGAGTAGTGTATAGGGCTGAGTCTATGAACAGGGAGGATGTAAGTGTCCTTTCTGCTGGAGACATGCATGCCACCTAAGAGGGCCCTGTCTCATACTATAGTTGACACAAGGCTGGCAAGCAGGCCCTGGCCGCCCTCTTCGTTGGGGAGCCGTTTTTACTAACACTGTGGACCTCTACCTAGAGCCTGTGGTCCCAGGAGGGCCTGCTACATTGTTAGGAGCTGTTTCTCCACAGGGCAAAGCACTGCTTGGCCCCTAAGCAGCTGTGACCAGCAGCAATGGGCAGTTGTGGTGACCTTCCTCTGCTAGCAAATCACTTCCCTTCCTCAGTCACAGTTCAAATGGCCTGTGGGGTGACCACATGGAGCACCATGCTTGTGTCACCGAGGCTTTGGCCTGAGTAAACACTATTTCTTTAGAGCCTTGTCCCAGTGAGTGCCCTTCTTTGTCAGGTGGTCCAATGGCCTAAGACGTTGGGCCAAGTCGGAAATGAAGGTCCTAGCAACTCAACAGACAGCTGTGATTCTCTGGGGGCTCAACATGCCTGCATCTTGTCGGTCACAGTGTGGGCCACACTCACCCAACCAAGACTACCTGAGGGAATTTCCCTGGACTTCCTGCGGGTTGGCAGCCCACTCTTTGGGTTGTGGGTCCACTAGAACCTTTTGGGTGATCTTCAGCAAAGACCTGTGAAAGTTAGCAACATGTCGTCTACATGGTATTCCTGGTGCATACAGATGTATCCGTCAACAACGTGGCCAGGACCAATAGCAGGGTTAGGCCAGCACCTGGGGAAGCACCAGAAAGGCCTGGTGTCGGCCCTCGCAGGGGAAGGCAAACATGTCCTGGGACTGTAGGTCTAGGGTAGATGGGCGCTACCTCCAGCATGGCACGTCACGTACCTAAACAAATAGTCTTTCCTGTATTTGAAGCACATTTGGGACAGCAGGACAGATAGCCAGAGTTCCCTTATTCACTTCTCAGAAATCACCTGTCACCCTCCAGATGCTGTCAGGCTGTCACACCTGCCACCTTGGGCTGTGGGATGGGCTCTATGCAGGACACAGTCCCTGTCCAGTCCTCAACAGTGGCCCCTCTCTCTGCGCCCTCCTGGGAGGTGATACCGTTGGGTGCCCTCTCAGGCAAGGTAATGCCACAGGCTCCCCTCTCTTCCCCAGGAGCTAGGCCTGTACCACCTTCACCCACGGTCGCTTCCAGGGTAGTTCCCAGGGCACTAGCCCCATGTTTGCTGGGACTGGGGAGCTGCAGAGTCACTGTGGGGTGGGGCCAGCTCCCCAGTGGTGCTGGCGGCTCTGAGCATCTGCGGAGGTGGGATGTCTGTGTATGAGAGTGCGTTTGGTCCCCACAGCCTCAGAGCCAGGACCTTGTTTCAGGGGGACCTGCGAGGCCCTTTCTACCCAGGACCATACACTGCAGAGGACCCTGGCCTTGCTATCCCCTAGAGGGCTGCACTGCGAACCTTCCAGAGGCAGGCAAGGGTCAGGACTAATCCTCATGGTGCTCAATCACTTTCCAAGTCCAAGGATAGCTGCAATGGGCGATTTCTTATCTGTGTGACTCTTCCACCATTTTTTTTCTGTTTCTCTCTGGGTTCCCACATTTTTGGTTTCTCATCTTAACTGCACAGGTCACAGTGGGCTTCTCTGTCAGTAAAGGCTGGGGCCATATCATGTGCAGGGGCCATTGTCAGGGACCTATGATGGGGAGCAGTGTACCCTCTCACCCACATGGGCCAGCCTGAGGAGTGCACGGTGCACCTAGGGTGAAAGGGGTGTTAGCAGGTCCCTGGAAAGCAGCAGCAGGGCTGGCCACCTACAAATGTAACCTGAGCCTCTTGCCCGTCTCTTAGGGCCTCCCCGAAGTGCCCAGTTTCATCATGTCGTTTTGAGAAAAAAGGATTGTCCTGCCTAGGTAGGGCCACAGCTTGGGGCCAAGGACAGTTTCAGCGACCTGGGTCACAGCCTGAACAGCCGTCAGAGCCTGGGGATGCTCGAGGCCCTGCCTGGGCTCAAGCCTGCAGGAGGAATGCCCTGGCCAGGTCCCCACAAAGTCACGGCACAGGAGGAAATTTGGGGGACAGGAAGACCCCCGTCGTCAGGTCTCCTGGCTTTGCCATCAGAAGCCAGTAACTCCAGAAACGGGGGATGGCAGGCTGGGCCTCGCTGGGCCTCGCAGAGCCTCGGTCTGGGCTCTCCTGCCTGTTGTCCACAGGTGCCTTCTTCCTGGTCTCACTCCTCTCTTGCCCCACAACAGGAGGCCCTGTCTGTGCACAAAGCCATCTGCCTAGAGCTCAACGTACCCCCAACTTCATGTGTGGAAAACTCAACCCCCACACTCACGCACTCAAGAGTTACTGGTGCCGGCAACTTCGGGAGGTGCTGAGAGTTACCTGAGGTTGTGGGGTGGGGCCATGAGAGCACCCCCACCCCAGTACAGGGTACTGAACCCAGAGCCTGTGCTCTGAGCTTCATCATAGCACTTCTTACATTTTTTTCACTTTGAGGCAAGGCCTCACTAAATCACTAAGTTGTCCAGCCTCGTCTCAAATTTGGAGTCCTCCTGCCTCAGCCTCCCAGAGTGTTGGGATCAGATGTGCACCACCCTGCCCTGACTGGCACTTCTTTTTTTTTTTTGGTACCAGAGATCAAACTCGGGTCCTTGTGCTTGCAGGGCAAGCAACAGAACCACTGAGCTAAATCCCCAGCCCTGGCACTTCTTTTTTTAAAGTTAACTTACTTTTTACTGATACATGTAACATGCATGCACAAGTTACAAATCGTACATGTGCAGCTCAATGAATTTTCATCTGTGTAACCAGCCACCAAATCAAGAAATAGGTCTAATCAGCACCCCGGAAGCATCCTCTTCTGCTGCCCCCCAAACACTAACTGGTTCTGAACACCTGCTCCATAGCTCTAAGTAGAAGTATGAATTCCTTTCTGTCTGGCTGCTTTTGCACAAACATGTTTTCAGGGTTCTTTCTTGTTGTGGGAATATACTTTTTGGGTTTTTTTTGTTTTTTGGTACCGGGGATCTAACTCGGGACCTTGCACTTATAAGGCAGGCACCGGAACCACTGAGCTAAATCCCTGGCCCTTTTTTGGGGGGCGGGGGGGGTATACTTTTTTTTGTTGGTGGTGAATTGTACTTCAGGGTGACTATATCACAATTTACTCACCTGTTCTTTCATTGGTGGATATGAGGGTTGTTTCTAGTTTGGTTATGAGGAACAGCACAATGAACATGTCTTGGTGAGCATATCTATGAATTTTTTTGTTGAATGTGTATATGAGTAGGATATATGTGTATTAGGCTGAATTTTGTTACTTTTTTGTTTTTGTTTTTTGAGACAGGGTCTCGCTGTGTAGTCCAGGCTGGTCTTGAACTCATAGATCCTCCTGCCTCAGCCTCCCAAGTGCTGGGATTATAGATGTGCACTACCAAACCCAGCTTTGTTTTTTGTGTTTTAGAGACAGGGTCTCACTATGTAGTTCAGGCCAGCCTTGAACTAATTCACCACACAGCCCAAGCTTGCCTCCAACTATTTGGGATCCTCCTGCCTCAGTCTCCCAATTGCTGGGATGACACACATTTGCCATCACACCCAGGTCAATTAGGTTGGATTTTATAGGTGTGAATCTATTTTCCAATGTGGTTGTACTGCCAGTCTGCGCTGCTAGGAGCAGCACATGAATGCTGTAGCCCCATGTTCCGGCTGACTCCTGGTGCTCTTTCTCGTTTTAGCCGTTCTGGTGGGTGTGGTATGGCTGCATTGTGATTTGGATTTTTATACCCTCTTTCATCAGTCAATGGTTTCAGTATGTGCTAAGACCTTATGGCCATATTTGATAAAAAATTTCCATCTCTTTCTAAGCATCATTTTACTAATGATGTAAATTTTATTTGTTATTAACTTTCTCTGTTCCTTTCCTTTTTAGTTACAGTCTGCCTAGGTCCTGACTGGCTCCTGATTATCACTCAACTTTAAATGAGGCAAGTCTAGACTACCTATATGAAAGGAGTCGATGCTTGGAAGGGCCTTGGGACTGGACATAGTAGTGTACACCTGCAATCCCAGCTACTTAAGAGGCTGAGGTGGGAGGATCACAAGGACAACACTTTGAGACCCTGTCCTAAAAAGGATTGGGGATGTAACAGCTCAGTGGTAACGCACCTGCTCAGCATGCACAGAGCCCTGGGTTTAATGCGCAGTACCTGCCCTCCAAACAGGGAGGGGCCCAGACTATGTTGCAGGCAGCAGGTCCTGTTAGGACAGAGAGGTGTGGGAGTGGAGACTTGGCCTTCCCTTGTCCACTGTCACCTGAGTCCATGCAGGTCACACTATACTGCTGCACCCTGCCCACCACCCAACCTCACCAACAGAGGCGTCCTGCAAGCAAGGCTCATCTGCATGACTTCTCCTCCAGGCCCTGCCGTTTCCACCTTCGATCCCAGCATGCCTTGCTCCCTGGCTTCCTCTGGGAACTCTAGCCATCTTCCCACACCCATGTGGTGTTCCCGTCCTTTCCTCACACTTCTGTGACAAAAGATTTCCAGTGTCTCCTGGTTTCACCCATGCTAAAGTCTGAGCTTCTCTTCCTGCTTGCCTTGCCACTGGTAGTTAGGTCTGGGGAGGGACAGCAGAGAAGGCTGAGGTCTCCTGGCATTTCTAAACTGGTCATCTTCTACTATGTGCTTCAGCCAGTCCAACCAACTGGCAGCAGTTTAAAGCACCAGTTTAAATCAGTTGGCACTGGTTTAAATCTAGAGCTGTCGCTATCCTTAGAAATAATGTGCACAGCTGTTGGTTTGAGAAGCATACAGACTGCTAGATAAGAGTCTTACAAATAAGACAGCAGCACTACAAGAGAGCCTGCTCTTAGGGGTTGAATTAGGTTCCTTCCCAAAATGCTGGAGTCCTAACTGAGCACTATTTATAATGTGACCTTATTTAGAAATAGGAACTGGATGTCAGGATGCACACCTGTAATCCCAGCTCTGTGGGACGCTGAGGCAGGAGGATCACAATTCAAATCCAATCTGGGCAACTTAGCAAGACCCTATCTCAAAAAAAAAAAAAAAATCTCTAGTGCTTGAGGAGGAGGTGAAGAAGGGTATTTACAGATGATGAGGTTAAAATGAGGTCATGTGGGGCCGGGGATTTAGCTCAGTGGTTCCACCACCTGCCTCAAAAGTGCAAGGTCCAGAGTTTGATCCCGGTACCACAAAAAAAGAAAAACCAAAAAAAAAAAAAACCAACAACAAAAAAATGAGATCATGTGAGTGGATTCTAGTCAAACATACTGTTGTCCTTATAAAAAAGCTTTAGAATATTTGCAGCAGGTCTTGCAGATGGCTGGACCAGTCAATTCTACACAGTGGCCTCCCTCTTCACACATGTCACCCATCACTTCCCAAGGTCCTACAGGTGTACTGTCCAGTACAGCTATGACCAGCAGTGGTCAAGGTGCTTCCTCGCTTGGGGATGTGTGGCATGGACTAAGGTGTATGTGTCTCTGAGGACTCAAGGATACTCCAGGGTGAGTGGGGGCATCAGATAGCAATAATGCGTGGTGTTCCAGCTGTGGGGCTTCATCCACCTGGGAACATAACAGCTACTGCTTCAGGCAGCTTTGCTGTGTTCCAATTTAACCCTTGCAATGACCTAGTAAGTTGGCAGTCAGTTTGGACTCTTGGGTTCCAGGTAACAAAGTCAATTCTAAGTAGCCTAAGCAGAAAGGGGAAATGATTTGTGACTCTACTTCTCTTCAAATGTCTGTCACTCCTTCTCCTGGTGGCTACTTTATCTGCTCTCAGTAATGTGGTAGCACACAGCCACTGGGAGCTCTTAGCTCACGCATCCTCAATTCACCACACCAGAACAACCGATCCACACTGGAAACTGCCAGTCACAGGAGGGGTGATGGCTGTTGTAAGTAGGCTCAGGTTATTAGAGTGGAAACTTCCACACTGCATTAAAATCGGACTGCAGGGTGGAGAAGCCTGGGCTTCTGGTAAAGGACAGTAGGGAGAGGTAATTGAGCTACAGGAATCTTCCTCTCTGTTCCACAGATAAGACTCAAAGATAATCAATGCACAAGGTAGAGTGGGAGTTAAGAGTGCAGACCCTGGAAAAGATCTGAAAAGACACCTTGCTAAGGAAAACATACAAGAAGCCAGTAAACATCAGCAAAAACGGTGCATGGATAATTGGAGTACCTCTTCACAATGGATTCTACCCAGGTAAAAAAAGCAAAGAACGACTCTTGATACAGCACACAGGTGAGTCTCATAAACACTATGCTCAGGAAGGAAGCCAGACACTGCTTAGGAATAACTCCACTAGCCCTTTAAGCCCAGCTGAGCTGGGTCTTTGGTTACAGTTAGCTGACAGCATCTCAGGACAGGAGGGCACTGCATTTGGGAGCTGAGGAGAGCTAGAGCAGGTTCTGGTGCTGGTGACAGCCTCTGGATTCCCCTGTCCAGCCTCATCTGGAGCCTTGCAGGACTGACAGCCCCAAATGCAAGTCTCAGTGCCTTGCTTTTAGCTAAATCCTACCATGATGAGTGCAAGCTGAGGCTAACCCCCAAGGCATGCCTGCAACTCCAGAACCTCTGATAACCTGAGCTTTCTGCTGAACCTAGAGAACACAGGTGGCCCTCACAGCTCAGAAACATCTGTTGCAGATTCCAGAGCCCCCAAAGCCCTGACCATCTGCGGCCCCAGCACTCTCCTGCCTGGTCCTGGTTGGCCTGAGCCAAAAACAAAAAACCTGTCTGCTTGGGCCTCTCCAGCCTCAAGAACCAGCAAAAGAAAGAAAAACACACTGAAAGGAGGCAATTTTATATTACCTTACTTATACCATAGGGAATATTATCAAAAGCTAAGACATAATTAAATCATGTAAACTGCTTTGCTTTTTCACACATGCAACCCAAAAGATGCTTTTCAAAATACTGATGTCAGCACTGCAGGCTGTAGCAGACCAAAGATCTCTCTCCAGAGTGGGATGGCCTGGAGTTGCCAGGAGGCACTCCAGCGGCTCAGAACAGCAGCTGAGGACCATGTGAAGGGACATGTTTCAATAGTTTATAGCTGGTTTAACCCTAGCACTCAAATGCACCGGAGATATGTTTGAAAACTATAATATTTTCTTAGAGTTCTCAAGTTTAAAAAACCTATAAACGGCATGTAGGCGCACGCCTATGGTCCCAGCCCTCAGAAGGCTGAGGCAGGAGGATCACTGTGAGTCTGATGCCAGCCTAAGCTACATATATAGATAATATATATTGAGTTCAAGGCCAGCCTAGGCTATGTAGTGAGGCCGTCTCCAAAAAAATTTTTATTCTAATTATCAGAATTTATTTGAAGGAAAAAACCCCTAACATCAACGGGCCACTACCTAAAAATTTCTTTGAAAGAAGTACTTAAATTGAATGGTAAGAGTCCATCCAACACATACTTGACTGTGGCTCAATGTGCTGATGTTGAAAGATATTAGACTCAAACCAGGAATGGTGATACACACCTATAATCCCACAGCACTCTTTGAGGCTGAGACAAGAGGATAGCCATCTTATGGCTAACCTGAACTCAGCAATTTAGTGACACTGTCTCAAAATAAAAAACTGGAGATGTAGCTCTGGGTTCAATTCCCAATACTAAAACACAAAACACATTCAGAATGGAACTTTGAGGAACAAAAGAGCTTGAAGCCAGGCATGGTAGTGTGCACCTCTAATCTCAGTCCTCAGGAGGCTGAGGCAGACTGCAAATACAAGCCTAGCCTAGGCAACTTAGTGACTTAGGAAGATCCTACCTCAAAGTAAAAAAAAAAGGGTGAGGGATGGGCTGGTGATACAGCTGAGCACAAAGGTCCTAGGCTTAAACCACCACCACCACCATCAAAAACAAGATAAATTAACCTTTGTTTTAGGCCTAGTAAGAGATTTTTAAAACTTCTTTTAAAAACAAGCTACAGGGCCGGGGATTTTAGCTCAGTGGTTCCACCACCTGCCTTGCAAGTGAAAGGACCCGAGTTCGATCTCCAGTACCAAAAAAATAAATAAATAAAAACAAGCTACTGGGCTGGGGATTTAGCTCAGTGGCACTACACCTGCCTTGCAAGTGCAAGGTCCTGAGTTAAGTCCCGGGTACAAAAAAAAAAGCTACTAATTGGGCATAGTGGTAAGCATCTTTAATCCCTGCTACTCAGGAAGCCGAGGCAGAAGGATTGGCATGTTGGAACCAAACCTGGACTGATGCCCTATCTCGGAATAAAAAAGGGTGGGGATGTGACGTGGTGCTCCCTGGGTTTGCTCCCCAGTACCACTCACACAGTCTACCTGACAATGAGACTTTCTGCTTTAGTCTCAGTTGCAGCTGCTGCTACAGCTCAGCAAAGCAGCTCTGGAAAGTGATAAGTAACAGCAAAATGAAGGGAACTCTGCTGGAGGTAAAAATAGCATGTTTTTTACTCTACAGGGTCAAAGGTTTTTGCAGATGTGACCAAACTTAGAGTTATCTTTTCTACTACAGCCACCAGCTATCACAGAAGTACAAAATATTTTTTATGAGAAAGATACTTGCTCTTAGGGTTCTTCTAAATCAAAGTAGCTGTCTCATAGACTATTTAAAATGTAGATTGCTTATCCCAAAATCTAAATACTAGAAGTACCCAAGCGAAAGAGTTGTGCAAAGAGCCAGATGAAGTGATCTGCTGCAGTGCAGAGCCCCAGGACGGTGGTGTGCACGGTGGCTATCACTCTTGTTGGGGGTAGGGCCAGTCCTGCCCCAAAGTCCCAAATGCAGTAAGAGCTGGTCACACAGACGTGTGTTACTGTAGTAAGTACTCAATTCTAACTGTACAAACAATGAGAAAACATGACTTAAAAGTGTGCTTTAGAGATGATCTAACTAGATACATCATAAACTACAGTGGGTCAGATCCCAGATGTCCTTCCTTGCGCCTTCTACCACTGCTAAACCTTTTGATCGTACAAGGTGCTAAATTCAAAATGCCTGTAAGGATTTGGGACAACAGCATAGACTACCAAGAACTAAAGAGATACAAAACAATTCCTCTGCAACCAAAAATAGACAAGAGAAGTGGGCCACTGATGCAGACAGGTCTCTCAGATGGAACTCTATAAATATGACAGTAAACCTGGTAATGAGGCCTCATTTGGTAAACTGGGAACACCAGCGTCCCTTCTGACGTAAACTGATTCACTTAGAAGGGCACTGGCTTTCTGTTCTCACATTCACAGAGGCCTATATTCCTCTGTCACATCAAATCTGTCAAAGAAATAGCTCTAGAGAGTGATCTTAATTACACTTACACTAATTTTATACTTTTGGTTCCTCAGAATTTTTAGACTTAGAAGTGATACCTACCAACTATTGTTCTATCACTAGTGCTCTTTAATACAGAAACTGCTAGTTTCCTTATGTTGGTTACATACTGTTTTTATTCAGGTTTATTGAATAAGAAAACCAAAACAAGAAGAAAGCCCTCAAATGCTTCTCCAAGTCCATTCTTTCTCTACAGAGGAGGTTACAGACAGCCCTGAAGTAGCTAGCTGGAAAGTAGTCAGCGAGGCCCAGGTGGAACAACAGTTTATGTGGACTCTTTCCAAGTCTATTTCCTTTGGTGCCTTGCATAGTAAGGGGCTGTTAAGAATGTGTAAATAGGCCGGGGATTTAGCTCAGTGGTTCCGCTGCCTGCCTCGCAAGGACCTGAGTTCAATCCCGGGTACCAAAAAAAAAAAAGTGTAAATAAGGACTAAAAGGTATAATAGATAACGTGAAATAGGAAGAAAAGGGGTGAAGGGGAAGTGGGAGGGGGAGGGGAAAGGAAAGAAGGGAATGGAATTAATATGAGAAAATGAACGAATGGAAACAAAGTCTTTGTAAACAGGGATGGAGGGGTTGAAGGGAGGGCAGGGGAATGGGGACAAAATAAGAACCAAGAGAGATTACGTAAAGGTACAAATTTCTAATGATGAATGTCATATTGTATACCTAAAATGTACCAGTAAAATAAAATTTTAAAAAAATGTTAACAGAGGGCTGGAGATTTTAGCTCAGTAGTGCCGCTGCCTGCCTCGCAAGTGCAAGGTCCTGAGTTTGATCCCCAGAACAAAAAAAAGAATGTAACAATACAGGAAATACCCACAGCAAATAGTTCTAGTGACAATTTACTAGACAAGTTACAGTTTAATGGTGGTGGTGATTGTTTTTCATTTTATTATTATTTTTTACAATAAGGATGTAGTTTTTACTCCACACACACACACAAAATAAAACAAGTGCTTATTATGAAAGAGTCCCTGCCCCCACCCCCTCAGAACATCCTGAACATAGCAATTCAATGGAACAGAAAAATCAAGACAAGTCTGATTTTAAAATTTCAATAAAAAAGCAAAAGTATGTAATGCAACAGCTGTTCAATTTCCAATTCTAAATAGGCACCATCAAACAAAAAAACCCCAGTATTTTCAATTTCTCTAGCACACATTCCAGTATAAATGTTCTGAACTGTTAACGAGCTAGTAATTAATAATGGGAATAGAACCTCAGAAGATATATTGCTTCCCTGACCCCCTTCTTAAAGTTGGAGAGTGCAGGTATTAGGGGATACAAAACTCACAGGAAGAATTAAAAAGAAAAATTCCGAAAGCTGCTGCTGTTTGGAGTAGAAAGGAAGACAGCATTTTACAAATGTTCAAAAAATCCCAAGGCATGTAACAATTCATTCACTATCACTCCTACTTGAAAGAATAGAGAGATCAGTGTCTTATTATATAAAACTGTACTTTCAGAACTGTATTACAGGTTCACCAGAAACTATGGATGTAGTTTTAGGCTTCATCAAAGAAAACAGGTTCAATTCAGATCAAGTTAGATACTGTACATCTAGCCTGGCTGAATCTTGAATCGGTGTCTAAAACTGCTCATTGTTACCCTGAACAGCTGTAAACTAAACGATAGTATGTGACTCCATAGGAAGCTTAAGGACTGAAGGGATGTACACAGCTAATTAGATCTCCCCTGCTTCGCGCTCTTCAGAGCTCCTCCTGTCTTCTGATCTGCCATTAGCACTCTCATAGGACCGCTTCTTATCTTTTCGGTCTCGGTCACGAGGTGATCTGTCTCTTGAACTCCTGTCTCTGTCACGTGATGCTAAGTCTTGGTCTCTGAATCTTTCTTTTGAGGATCTGAAAAATATTAATTTGAGGAGCAAAATATGTTGGGAAACCCAAAATCCAAATGAAAGAATAGGATAAATATTATGCTACAGATAGCTGAAGAAATATATTAGAATACAGCCAAGACAGAGCCAGTTTTCTGACAGAAAAGAACACACTGTAGTGGATAAAGGCACTAAAAAAGGAAGATGGGTGGCAACAAATAGCTAAGGGCCAAAAACAGTAAGTGCCAAGCACAGATGGTGGCAATGCCTGTATTCCCAGCTACTTGGAGGCTGAAGCAGGAGGATCACAAGTTTGAGGCCAGCCTGGGCAACTTGGCAAGACCCTGTCTCAAATTAAAAACCTTAAAAAGAGGGCGGGGGATTTAGTTCAGTGGTTCTGCTGCCTGCCTTGCAAGCGCAAAGACCCGAGTTCGATCCCCGGTACCAAAAACAAAACAAAAAACTTAAAAAGGGCTGGGGATGTATAGCTCAGTGGTAGACTGGTTGCCTAGCATGTGTTAGGCCCCAGGTTCAATCCCAAATACTGTCAAAAAGTCTAAGCTAAAATAACTTACAAGATATTTTTAGTATCTTGGAGATAACTATAAAGCTTCAATTCATAAAAAGGTATTAATATAAAAATAATATAGATAATAGCTTTAAAAAGTAAAAGGTATTACTGGATTTTTAAAAAATATATGAGAACAGATTCCAAATTGAATTGAAATCAGTAACATAATAGGTCAGCAAATCTTTTCTGTTTTTTTTCTGGCCAGGCAGTAAATATCTGAGGTGCTGCAGGTCACAGTCTCTGTGGTACTGTTCTTCCTCTTCTGTTTACCAACCTTTAAGAATGTAAAACCATCCATAGCTTGCTGGCTGTACAAAAACAGGCTACAGGCCTCATTTAGCCTGTAGGCAATAGTTTGCCAACATCTAACTTACCTAAGAGAAAACAGTCAATAATATGGCCTTATATAACCATTTGTTAATTTAAAATTTTGCTTTACTCCTCCTGAGTTAACTCATTAAAACCACAATGGAAGACAGAAAAAGTTAATCCATGCTAATAAATCTTGATTAACCATGACTTAATACTGCCATCCCTGTTCCCATATCCATCTTCAATAAGGTAAGAAACCAAGCTCATATCAGATTCAGTTAGAAGAAAAACCAAAGGATGTTATGAAATTCGAATAAATATAGAATCTCCTATATTTTCAACATGTAAAATTAATGAGTAACAAATATTACATTTATTTGGTTCTTTACAGGTGATAGAGAACTTTTACATAATTATCTCAACCCACATTTAAAATTAAGATCTGAGGCACTGCCAAGACCTGAATAACACTTTTCTTTTTGGTGCTGGAGTTTGAACCCAGGGCCTGGTATAGGCTAAGTGTGTATTCTACTGCGTAACTACATTCCCAGCCCCAAATAAGTAATACTTTCAGGAAAACATAAGGCAGCAAAATAATAATATACTCAATTTTATACAGTTCAGGAGGATTAAAAAAGACTGAAAGGTTAATATTAAGTTTGAGCATTCTGCTTAAGGTTTTAATAAGCTTAATTTAAAAAAGATGTTGGAAAAAAAACATCAAAATGCAAGTCTAGTGATTCCAAGTCTACACTAGCTCCATCTATCGCCTTTGTAGGAATGGAATATAAAGAAAGATCATAGAAATGATACCTAAGAATAAAGACTTTGAAAGCTGGTAAGTCCCAGCGATGAGAACTGAAAAATAACTGCGATGAACATCAACTAACGCTATGTGAGCAATTACAATGTGCCACGTAGTAGTCTGTATACACTTCTTACTAGCACTACCAATAATCCTAATAAAGCAAACACTATCTCTACTCAGTAGACAGGTGACATAACACCCTTACTTGGCCAGGGCCACTGGGCCCATGTGGTCTGACTCTGCAAGGCTGCACTGTCCATGTCTGAACAGAGCAAGCAGAAAGCTGCAAGTGGTCCTCACTGGCCTAGGGAACGGGGTCCAAGGAAAGGTCACAGTGACAATCTACTATACCAGAGACCAGTGCTTCCCAGTACAGGCAGGAGAACAACAAAACACAAAGACTTCTAATGGGAACTTTTGCCTTCAAAAATTAAATCCGCATTTGTTGCAAAATTTGTTACATGTAACAGGTTTTAATACCAATTACCTGCTAATTTTTGGTAAAAATTATGTTTCAAAAGAGTAATTTGAATTCAAAGATGAGAGGTGCTCTTTAGAAAAGCAAAACTTTTAATAGTTTTACAAAAATAGGCCTCTTTGTGAACATGCTGAAGTCTCAGATGTGATGGGTGTCACGTAGTACGGTGGAAAATATTCCTATACAACTTCACAATTGCAGGAAGCATCAGGGACTCAGATCACACAATCTCAGAGAATGAGACTCCTCGCCCATCCCTCCCATCTCCACCACCAATAGACATTTAAGAGTTCACAAACACCAGAAACAATGACAATTGGGCAGGTCCACACAAGAAATTGTCTAGATCTTCATCACCTAGCTGCATGATTCTCAAAATTTAATGTACAGATTAAGATTTACACAGAACTTTTAAGAAATGCTTATTTCTAGACACTGCTCTGAACGTGGCCTCCAAAATCCAGTTTCAAGAGTGTGAGACAAGCAGCCTATAATTATATGTTCTATCTGTTTAAATTACATCCAATTAATTCCAGTTTCACTGATGACCTGAAGCCATTTTGGGTCACCCTGGCATTTCCCTCATCTAGACCTGCATCACTTACCCTATCGGATCCAGGTCAGCACTTTATAATCTGGTGTCCAATGTCAGTCCTGTGTTCTAACTCATACAGCAAGCTTCTTAGAGCAACCTGAATATGGGTGCTCAACTATGTTACATTTCTTTATTTTGTTTACTAACCCTAGTGCAGTAGGAAGCATACAATTTTCACTGATTAGTCATCATAAGGACTAACAAAAAGGCTAGAAATATAAGAAATAAAATACCAATTGGGGCCCTATAAAGCATTCAGCTTGTGAGTGAATTCAGGGTATGGGCAGTTGAGAGTCCAACAAATAAAGACAGGTTTCTATGGATTCTATTACAGACTATGTAGAATAATCCATAGAAAATGTAAAACTAGTAAGTATTAAGCACTCAAAAAAAAAGTTTATCCTAAATATATTTAAGAACAGCTGTCAAGGAAAACAAAGCAAACTGCATATGATTTATGTTCCACAGAAATTACCTGGTTTAAGGGCTATAATGTGACCTGAGAAGTTTTGGGAGCTTAGTATGTACAGACTGTGAGGATTAAACTCCTCCACCATTCTTTGTCTCCTCTCACTAGATATTCAGGTCTTTGAGTATACCTTACCAATGTCTGCCTGCCTTACAACCTTGGAGTTTTTTATATCAAGAAGTCTTATAGCTTCCTTAAAATTCTGAACCTGCCCCTCCAAGCTGTACATACAACAATTACCTATCGCATATAAGTAATATACTAGAATGTGTCATCTCTAAACGTGTACCAGCTCAAATAAATTTGGAAAACAGTCAAACAAAGCTAAACAACTCTTAATGAAAAGACTTCTCAGAGCCCCTGTGTTAATACATATTGAAAAAATTCAAGAGTTACGAATACCTAAAATTATTTGCCTGTAAAATACTTTTTTTCCCAAGACATACTAAGCAGAGAAAAGCAATAATAACCTCTGCACATATCAGTTCCAATTTCTTATTTGGGCTCACATGTAAATCTTTCTGAACTACCAATATAATCTGGAAAAAAATGTATACACCCACACACAAATGTGTACATATCACCAGGTGCAAGTTCAAACCAATAATCTAAAGTCTAACCCTAAGTAACATAAGCAAACAACAGGCTAAACATAAAGGTAGCTCCACATCCTCCGATCGGCACGTCAGTACCTCCTCTTGGACCGCTCTCTGCTCCTATCTCTAGAACTGTGTCGACTTCGCTGATGGCTGCGGCTGCGGCTACGGCTGCTAGAGCGGGACCGGTGGCGATGGCGTTTCTCCCGAGACTTGGATCGCGTCCTCCTCTTGCGTTCTCGAGACATGGAGCGAGATCGGTGTCTGCGATGCTCTCTGGACCTCGATCTACAAGACGACAAGTTTTGACTTCATTTTCACTGTCAGCACTACATCTCTTTTTATAGTCCTCTCTTTAAAAATATTCTCTAGTAACCTTGTATCAATTCTATTCCGAGGCAACTAAATGTATACTAAATTTCTGGTGTGATAACAACTATACACTAAGACTTCAAAACAAAAATTAAAACACTAATTCTTAGAGGTCAATTAGTATTGTATAAATTTATACCGGGAATATAGAAGAAAAATGAAGGCAACAATCTGTACTACTACTATAGGCCAGGAATTATATTATCTAAATGCTTTATGAGTTAATTTCATTAAAATAAGATTTTTAGTATACTTTAGGAACTAAGTATATACCCAATGGATATGAACAGGAAAGGTATGATAAAATATACTATTTAGGATAAATTACTCTGTCTGAATTAGAAAGGCTGTGACAACAGAAAGTGTGGAATGCCTACAGTATGCCAAATCACAGAATAATCAAAACATAATGAGAAAAAAAAAAAAACACCAAGAAAAAAGGGGCCAGGGATTTAACTCAGTGGTTCCAGCACCTGTCTCCCAAGCGCAAGGTTCCGAGTTTGATCCCTGGTACCAAAAAAAGATTCTAGTCGCAAAATATGAGACAGTTCTCCAAGTAGCACATAATTTGGAAGGAAAAAAAAAAAACATGCAAAAATTACTTCAGAGAACTTTACCTAAATTGGTTAAAAAAAAAAAAAAGTATTGCTAACAACTACATAGTAGTTGAGAAGAAAAACTACTTCCATGGCCTTAACCAGGTCACAACTAACTTGTGTGTGGGTATGTGTGTGTGACAAAGGTAAAGATGGCATGCAGATGACAGAAACGTGAGAGAAAACAAGACGAGAATGAAGCATGCAATTTTCTTTAAAGAATGACAGAAGATAGGAAGATGAATGCAGTTGCTGGACTCTCAGCGGCAGGTGAACAATTTAGCAAGACCAGGTTTCAAAATAAAGGGCTGGGGATGTTGCTCAGTGGCAGAACATTTGCTTAGCATTAAGAGGCATGAGAGGAAAAAAGGTGAACATTTACTAAATTTTTAAAAAATAAATTAAAAAATACATTTTCCCTTAATCATTCTCAAAATACTCCCCCCCTTGTTTCAAACACAACCCATTATTCTTGCCACTTTCTGACACAGTTCTGGAAGTCTTTGGTGAGTGTCCTTAGTTGCACTGTCAGGACCTCTTCCATTTCCTGAATCAATTCAAAACGTTTATCTTTCACGGTCATTTTTAAGGAAGACCCAAGAGTCACACAGTGCCAGATCTGGTGAATAAGGTGGATGGGGACACACCATAATGATTTTATGAGCCTGCCTTTCTGCTGGATGGCACTCAGCAGCAGTATTCCCTGTATTTTTTTTTTTAAATCACACTTTGTAAAGACACCGAGGAAAGAGGACTTCCACAACTGCTTTGGAAAGTGGCAAGAATGTTGGGATAATATGTAAGCCTATTTTGAAAATCTTGTGAAAATTTCTTACGTAGAGTCCTGTAGGAATAATTAATACAGAAACCTTGAGGTCAATATTTCTCTGTAAAATTTCCAAAAATTAAATCCCAGACAGATATCCTGAAGTACATATGCTGTTTTTCAGTAAATCACTTAAATATCTGAATTATGTATCTGCAGTGTTTAATATAAAAATATTGAGTTGATATAGATATTTTTGTATATCTTTAAGCTTAAGACATAGTGTCTTAAGCATGGTGAATTAAAATGTATTATTTACTTTCAAGTATAAAAAATAAAAAGAATGTTGGGATAAGTAAAAAGCAAGGGGGGAATATTCTGAGGTGGATTAATGGCCATGTGTCTTTTTTTTCTGGTACAGGGAATCGAACTCAGGACCTTGCACTTGCCAGGCAGGAGCATAGCCACTGAGCTAAATCCCCAGTCCCCATGTGTCTTTTATTGTAATACTTTTTAAAAAAAATTTAAACATCCTTTTTAATCAAAATTTAGTAGGCAAGGTCATACAAAAAAAAGGTGATGAAAATATTCTAAGTTGGACTGCAGAACTTTAAATTTACTGAAATCACTCATACTTAAAATGAGTAAATTATATGGTATATAAATTATACCTTGATAAAATGGTTAAAATTCTTAAATCCTATTAAGCATGTAAGACTGCAATGGTTTCTCGCAATTCAATACAGTAGGCTGAAAAGGACATTATTTGGGTGATATCGTTTATACATTAAACATTTTCAAATGATTATTTTGTTACAAATGAAATTTAAAAGTATTCAGTTCATGTTAACATGAACTGAGCAAACATAAGTTAACATGAACATGGCAAAGAACAGCATATTATAGACCTAGTGTCAATCACACTTGAACAGAATATTTCTATACCTGAATAAAATACTTGCAAAAAGGAGCAGAGAAAAGAATGTCATTCAATACAGTTTTATCAAATGATATTTGCTTTAACTATTCATTTTGAGAGCTATTATGAATCTACTTATTTCAATGTATAATTTTATTTGCTATTTTAAAAATTCCAATTATTCATCCATTCAAAATATATTTTACTGGGTGCCTATAGCACTGTTTTAGCTACAAGGGAAGATTGAGCAACAAATAAAACCAAGTCCCTGGTCCCTGAGAGCTTACAGTCTAGAATGTATACAGATCTCTGCCTGGTAAAGTAAGGTAAAGCTGGATAGAAAACGGCGGTCATGTTTTATACAGAAATGGTAGAAGTTTCTCTGATAGCATGATGCTGAAATAAAGATGGAAAGAAAGGAATAAGCACTGCTGCCATCTAGGAAAGAGTATACTGATGCAAGGCCTGAGGCAGGAGAAGCCTCAGCATGCTGAGGAACAGAGGATACAGTCTGGATGAATGAAACAAGTGAAGGAGAGTAACATGAGAGGCCAGGAGGAGAATGACAAAGAAATGCAACACTCAAAACAGGGGTCTCTGAATAATAAGTTACATAAAGTGAAAACGAGCTATTAACAGATATTCTGAGAAAACAAACATAAACCAGAAGTAAGTATCCCACGGCAAGTTGGCTCATGATCATCTTATCTAAAAGCTATGGAAAGGACTCTGACTTCTCCTATGAGGAAATGAAAAACTCTTGGACAGTTTAAACACACAGAACAGGAATCTATTTCATTTTTAAAAGGGGTCATTCTGGCTAATGTGTGAAAAACAGACTGAGGTAGAGGAGAAGAGTGGACAAGGTTGGAAATGAGACCGGTCAGTGGGAGACTAGGGTGGTAGATGTTAAATTTCTGGCCAAAGAATCTAAAGACATTCTATGTAAAACTCATAATAAAAATTAGCTAACATAACTGGTCTATTTATTACTACCTTTTAGTTTTCTAGTGTCCCCTACCCCCACAGTATTGGGGATTGAACCTAGAGCCTTAGGATTGAGCTACATCCCATCCCTTTTTTGAGATAGGATCTTGCTAAATTTAAATTATCCATGCTGGCCTCAAATGTGCAATCCTCCCAGCTAAGCCTCTCAGAGTGAAGGGGTTACAGCCAGCTTTTGTTTTACTGTTTTAAGCAAAAAATACCACTTAAAAGTTTAAAAAAGTACTAAGGGGAGGCTAACAGAAATATAAGGTTTCTCTTTTGTAAGAAAGGTTCTTTATTTTTAGGGAAAAGTTCTTGGAAAATAGTTATTATTTTTGAGTACTCAGCAGAGGTTTCAAAAAAAAAAAAAGATCTAATGTGAACAAGAGGAATGGTGGGGACTTGGAAGAGAATGAAAAAGGGCATTCTAGGCGAGAATGGATTTCTGAGGCAAAGCCCAAAGAGAAGAATGGCAAGTGAAGAAACAAAGAATGAAGGGGAACATATTTTTCTCCTTTTCTTAGAAAAAATTTCTCAACTAGAAAAACTACAAATAAAGGTTGAAAAAGCCCCTAAATATGAACAGTGAAAGTCAAAATAAAGAATGTATATTGGGCCAGGGATTTAGCTCAGTGGTTCCGCCGCCTGCCTTGCAAGCGGCCAAGGACCCGAGTTTGATCCCTGGTAGAAAGAAAAGAAAAGAAAAAAAAGAAAAGGAAAGAAAAGAAAAGAGAAGAAAGGAAAGTATAATCTTTTCCTCTTCCTCTTTAAGGCTAATAATGCCCCTTTGGAAGCCTTTTGTGATCACAATACAAAGAGATGAGTAATAAATTTACAAAAAGGCAAAATTGGAACACACATTATAGACCTTTTTTTTTGGCACCTGGGATCAAACTCAGGTCCTTGCGCTTGCACAGCAGGTGGCGAAACCACTGAGCTAAATCCCTGGCCCAACACATGAAACATTTTAGTTTCCATTAACCTACTGTGGAAAACATTCAAAAGCTGAACTAGCTAACCTACTTATATTTTCAATAGGTACAACTTACATCATGACTGTTGTTTCTTAAATCCTGTTACATACTTACTTTTTTTTTTTTTTTTTTTGGTACCGGGGATCGAACTCGGGTCTTTCCATTTGCAAGGCAGGTGGTGGAACCACTGAGCTAAATCCCCGTCCTTACTGACCTTCTAAAAAAGATTTAAGAAATATTTGGGAATATTTTTAGCTTTCCCCTATAATTCCAGGATAGTATATATAACTTTACTCTAATAAAAACTAAGTTGTAATTCATGAGTGCCTTCTGACTAGTTTCTCCTCGGATGACAATGGTCAAACTTGAATTACCAAAGAAACAGTAATAATTTATCCTCATAAATTTTTAAGGTATTCAATCTATAAAAACTGCCTTTGAAAAATACAACTTCACTATTTATACCTAACTTGCATAATAATACCTACCTTTTAGGATTCTTGCTATGTGATCTGGACCTAAAAAAAGAATATCTATTTTTAGAAAAGTGACTATAACAAGACAATGCAATGTGTTAAGTTATATTCTTCTTGACTTGTAATTTTTATAATAATTTTTAAAATGTAGGGCACTAGACATACAATTTTTTTCTAAAATGTACTACATACTACAGACTTCCACTTTGCCATATGGGTTCCCTTAATTGGTTATCTGGCTCTTAAAAAAGAACACGCTCCTAGAAGACCAAAACATAGTGTGTCACAATTCCTTAATTCTCTACAAACCACTTCGTGGCCTGGAAAAATTTGTTATATATAGCTCTGTCACTTTATTTGTCCCTCTTTGGAAGAGAGTAAAATATTTGTAACCTGAAATGTAGACATTTTGGAGCTACAACCTCATGCTATAATCCCTAGAACACCCAACTCAAACTTCCCACATCTGTTTCCTCACATGAAACAAGTGAGGTATACAGTGCACTCTTCACATTTCCCAGCACACTGTTAACACTCAATAAATAGTAACAGTTAATGACACGGCCAGGATAATGTAGCAGGATTTCTGGTAGACAATTTATAGCATGGATGAAAGCATGCCTTTGGATTCAGGCAGATGTGAATTTTAACTCAGTCCCTACACTTCAGCATCTGTGTCACCAAGATAAATCATGTATCTTTTCTCAGCTTAGGCTATCACTGGAAGAGATGGATAGTAAAACAAATTTCACAAGCTGGGGGATAAGGACTAAAAAAACTAGGCCAATTTGTTAGGACAGTGCCTGGCATATAGTGATGGGAGTGTTTTTCAGCTGTCTTTTTCAGTACCATAGTTGATTTTTTATTTTGGTAGTACCAGGGATCAAACTCAGGACCTTGCACTTGGCAAGGCAGGCAGTGGCACCCACCTAGCGCTAAATCCCCAGCCCCACAGTTGAACTCTTATCTTGTATAATTTTCTATTAGCTTACAATTTCATCTTTCATATTTCTAAAGGTTTATGAGGGTTTTATTTTGGGGGGTGCTACTGGAACAGAACCCAGTGAGTGCTCTTAAACTGAGCTGAACACCCTCATTCTACCATCCATGTTTTTTGGGGACAGGGTCTTGCTATGTAGTACAGGTTTGTCCTTGAATTCATGATCCTTCTAACTCACCCACTGGAGCACTGAAATTATGGGAGTGTTCCACCATGCCTGGCCCCAGGGTTTAAAAAAATTTTTTTTTAATATTTCTGAAATAAGGTTATATTTTATAATCAATGTCAAAAGAAACATGTCAGCCAGCAAGCAAAGAAGATGTAATGGTAGTTTCTCATCACCTACAAGCATGAAGTATATAGTTCAGCAAAAAATTCTTGTTCTCATTTGACTATCATCTCCTTTAAATCTTTTTTTTTTTTTTTTGGTACTGGGGATCGAACTCAGGACCTTGTGCTTTTGAGGCAGGCACAGTGCCACTGAGCTACATCCCTGGCCCTCCCATAAATCCTAAGTAGAAAATTCCAATGTTAAGAAAAATGCTACTTATACTGTCCTAAATATCACAATACTGGACAATATTCCCCCAGAAGAACTTAGTATACACCAAACATCAAAGAGATAAACTTGAGGTAAAATTTATGATGAATGGAGGTAGGGGGAGACCACACACGCATGTACACACACCTCAAGACACAGAGAGAAATGGAGGACAGCAACTTTGTTCCATTTTGTCCTTATGGTGCAGAAAGATAGATTATCACTAAAAGCCACGCAACAAAATGAAATTTGTTTAAACTTGAGTATATGCTAAAAGTTTAGAAGTTAGCATGACCTATTCACATACTGCAAAGGGTTTTAATTAAGCACATCTGCCAACACTGAAAGAAAATATTTAAATTTCAGAGATGGGCACTACAATTCAGGAAACACTAGAACAGGTAAATCCTTTGTGGCATGCCTGTCCATCCTCAAGTACTTAAAGAAGGTATGATCATGAGTTGCAGACTGTTGCCACAGTGGTACTATGCAATTTTAGTTGCCAAAAGAGAAAAGTAACTCAGAAGAATGCTTAAACATTCTAAATATGAAAATTTATAAATTTTTATTAATATTAATAAACAGAATTATATACCTTTAGGTATTACTAAATGGAATCCTTACAGTTTTTAGCTCTAGAATTGAGAAAATAACAAAGCTTATCAAAAAATGATGAAACAAAATAACCTTAAACCTTTTATCAACAAACATAAATACTGAAGCTCCATACCAACAAATTATTTTGTTTTGGTACCAGGGATCGAACTTGGGCCCTTGCACTTACAAGGCAGGCGGTGGAACCAGTGAGCTAAATACCCGGCCCCAACAAATGCATTTTTTAAAAAAATAGAATATACTGCAGTGCTAAGTCAACCTAATACAAATCTGTTCAATCACCTTCAGGGTAACAGTTCATACAAGTTGAGCAATACTACTCCAAAAATCTGAAATGCAAAATCAAAATCTTTTTGAGCACAGACATGAGAGTCAAAAAGTTTAAAATTCTGAAGCGTTTCAGATTTTGGACTTTTAAAAATAGGTATTTACCCAGAAAGATTAATGCAAGTATTCCAAAATTCAAAAAATTCCAAAAATCTGAAATCCTTCTGGTTCCAAGCATTTTGGATAAACTGTACTCAACCTATATATTTATGTAAAATTTATCTTGCATGGTAGTATTTTTAAAAAGTAAACGGAAATTTCCAATGCCCCCACAGGTTAAGTAGCATTTAAAATCTATCGATTCCATTTCCTTTCAGAACTGGGGAGATTTAACTTCAAATACTTTTAGTACTTATCTCTTCATACCTCCTCAGCTTCTCCCTTTCTTCTCTCTCCCTTTCTTCTCTTCGTTTCAGGCGTTCCTGGTTTCTTTTCTCCTGCTTTTCAGCTACGACTCTCTTAAAAATAATAAACAAGGAACATATTTACTGGGTCAATTCTTAATTATCTTTACCCTAATCTATTCCATACCTAGTTACCAATAGTACAGATAACATCAAAATTTGTTAAGTAACAATTCAATTTGAAGCTCTGCCAGACATAAATGCTAGGCTTAAGTCTGCTTTCCAGAATCTTTCCCCTCTTCTGTATAAAATAGGCACAACTTCATGTTTCTATATGATTTAATGACATCATAAAATAACATTTACAAGTTTTTTCTCCTGTGTTTCTTAGGATTACTTTATATTTCTGTAAAGACCATCATTATAAATTGCAAGATCTCATTCCCTATGTTTTCTCACATGAAAATGTCCATTTCCAATCATCATTCTGATGCTGCTGCTTTAAAGACGTGAATGAAACACTGAGTTCTGTTGCTAAGTCTGTACCCATCCAGACTTCCAGGAAGGTACTGTTTTTGAGTTTTAATTTAGAGCCCAACAACCATTTGTTATAATGAAACATTTTGACTTTTTTTTAGAAACTTACTTGAGATTACGCTAGCTGTTCAAAAAACTGAGAAGGGCTCACTGTTAACTATAATATGGAGATATCCATGGGTGTTTCTGATTCCGCATTATTTAAAATATCAAGCTACGTAGGTTGGGTTAATTTCAATGGTAAAATTTCAGTGACTCAGTGTTGCCAATGCTCCAGACAGTCCTCAATCTGCAACAAAATGCTACAGTGTCACAATTCTTTAAAAAATTCACATCATTCTGCCTTACCTTTCACTTCAAAATACCACATTTGTGTGTGTGTGTGTGTGTGTGTGTGTGTGTGCTTGCTTAGTCCCTCAAAAGAACTGTGTTGTCTTTTTCACAACTGATTTTATTTTTTAGTGGTACTAGGGATTCAACTCATGGCTTTTGTCTTGAGTTACATCCCCAGCCCTTTCAAAATTTTTAGACAGGGTCTTGCTAAGTCTCCAAATTGCCCAGACTAGGATTGAATTTAGAATCCTCCTGCCTCAGTCTCCCAGAGTGCTGGGATTATAGGCATGTGCCATCAAGCATGGTTTAGCCTACATACTTAACTCGGCAATAGTGAGTGTCCTTTCACAAGTTTCATTCTATGTTCTTTCAGAACGAAGGAACATAAAACTAGAGGTTCATAAGATTGCTATTTAGTTAAGAAATACAAAACATTTCAAATAAATATTGGGCTCATTTTCTCAATCCTCCTTGAAAAGATAACAATGGACATATTAAGGATTAAATATTTTGGCTAAGGAAAACAAAATGGGGGGTATTAATTTACCAATGTACCTTTAATTCTTCAAGCTTCTCTCTTATTTCAATAAATCCCAGGTGCAGTTTACCCCCGAAATGATCAGCCAGTCTCCTGTCATTATCATGAAGACCTAAATAGGCAGAGCAGACTTCACAGACTCGAAGCTTCTGCTGTTGGAAACTGGAAGCTGGCATAGAATTCCGATACACTTCCTAAGCAAAAATAAGAAAAGCAACAATCATACAAACTAAAAAATGTTTTCTGGTGAATATACAAAAGCACAGCTATTTTGTCAAGAAAATTACAGGCTTTTTTTTGTCTCTATTCCGTCCTAGGGTGCTCTACTGGGGGAATCAAAAGCTATGCCCTCAAACTCCTTTTGCCAAGAAACTAAGAATTCTACAACACAAAACACAGCTTTCTGAAAAGATTTTCTCAATGTTGTTTTTCACAATATTTATTAAAAATCTGATCTATGTTGGGGCTTCTCTCCACCTCTTCTCTCAGATTCCTTTTTTTTTTAGACAGAGTCTTGCTATGTAGTCCAGTCTAGCCTTGAATTCACTATGTAGCCCAGGTTGTCCTTGAACTAGCAGCAATCCTCCTGCCTCACCCTCCCAAGTGCTGGGATTACAGATGTGTATGACCACGCCTGGCTCCTACATCAAATTTTTAACAAAGAATATAGGAAAGAACATTAAAGAAACCTGCTATTGTCAACAAATCAAATAATTTTGATCCCTGGTACCAAAGGAAAAAAAATCAAATAACAACAAATGCTGGAGAGGATATAGAGAAAAAGGAATTCATCTACATTGTTTGGAATGTAAAGTAGTACAACCTCGAGAAATCTGTGGAGATTCCTCAAAAATTAAAAGTAAAAATTCTAAGAAATAAATTAATTAATTAATTATAACTGACCCAGCTATCCCCCATCTAGGTATCTTCCCTAAAGAGTTAAAGTCCTCATGGGCCAGGGATTTAGCTCAGTGGTTCCGCCACCACCGCCCCATAAGCACAAGAACCCAAGTTTGATCCCCGGTACCAAAAAAAAGAAAGAAAGAAAAAAAAAGAGTTAAACTCATCATATTATAGGGATCCTTGCATCCCCATGTTTATAGCAGCACAACTTATAATAGCTAGATCTTGGAAACAGCATATATGTCTATCAACAGGTGAATGGATAAAGAAAATGTATTTATAAACAATGGAGTACTACTCTGACATAAAGATAAAGCACATATTTTTTTTTGGTACCAGGGATTGAACTAGGGTCCTTGCACTTGCGAGGTAGGCGGGAGAACCACTGAGCTAAATCCCTGGCCCTGTCTGAGATGTTGCATGGTTTTTCTTATATGAGCAATGAAAAAGAATATACATGTATATGTATTTTTACCAATTTGTGACAGTAATACAGTCAGTATAGTTGACTTGCTTTCATGAAGGTGTGCATGCATATTTTAATTTAAATGTTTTGAAACATTTTCAGAAAGGTTAAAGAAAAGTGTAATTCCCCTATTATCCTTCACCCAGACTTCCCAACTGTTAATATTTTACATTTGCATTATCTTTACCCCTATTTTTGTGTTTCCTAAAAAGAGATACACAATATAATTATCAAAATCAAGAATTAACATTGATACAAAGCAACTAAAGAATTTACTTAAATATCATCACTTGTCCCCATAATATTCAATTAGCTTCCCCCCCCTGCCCCGCAGTAATGAGTGTTTAACTTAGGGCCTTTACATTGTGCTACATACCAAGCCCTTTTTTATTTTTTATTTTTATTCTGAGATGAGGTCTTGCTAAGTCACTACCTTACAAAAGACAATCCAATTCAGGACATATCTCATTTCATTATGCCTCTTTAGTTTACTTTAATGTGGAACTGTTACTCTTTCTTTGTCCAATACAACATTAGGTTTTGATGAGTACTGGTCACCTATTTTGGAAACGTACTTCAGTTTGAATTTGTCTGGTTTTTCTCATGGTTAGATTTGGTGGGGAAGGGAGCTTAGGATTGAAAACAGGGGCTCAGGGCTGGGGATTTAGCTCAGTGGTTCCAGCACCTGCCTCACAAGCACCAAGGTCCTGAGTTTGATCCCCGGTACCAAAAAAAAAGAAAACAGGGGCTCAAGCATGTTGAACACATTTTCTAGGTGCTGAGTGACACACCCTCAACCCACCCACCAGGGTTAGAGTTTGACAGGAATGCCACTGTCATGATGTATCCTATCAAGAGGCAACTATTAGTGATTGGTCCCATTTCTGGTGATAACACCTAATTTTGCCACTGTGAAGAAACTTTCTCTTTTGTAACTAGTTAGTACCTTGGTATTAACACTTTTGACACTGGAAATACTGTTTCTCTTCACTTCTTGATCCACAGGCTATAGCAATTACTGCTGATTTTCATCTGAATTGCACCCCACATAGTCATAGGAATTGAACCCAGGACCTTCACCACTGAGCTATATATTCCCAGCCTTTATTTTTGATTTCAAGGCAGGGTCTCACTAAGCTGCCCAGGCTATGCTTGAATTTGTGCTCCTCCTGCTTCAGTGTCCCAGAGTGCTGGGATACAGGAGGCATCATTGTGCCTGGCTTTTATTTTTAATCCAATTTTGAGACAGGGTCTTGCTAAATTGCCTAGTTGGGCCTCAAACTCATGATCTTCCTGCCTCAGCCTCTGAGGCAGCTGGGATTATAGGTGTGGATTACCATATCTGGCTTCTGTCCTATTACTTTTAACCCATGTCTTTATATTTAAAGTGGGCTTCTTGTACCTAAGTCTTATTTTTTTTAAAAAAAGCAGCCTCACAAACTCTCTTGTAACTGCAATGTTTAGAAACATTTACATTTGATATAATTATTGTTACACTAGATTTAAATCTACCATCTTGTCATTTGTTTTCTATGTCTTTTTTTTTTAAGGTACTGAGGATCGAACTTAGGACCTTGTGCTCACAAGGCAGGCACAGTGCCACTGGGTTAAATCCCTGGCCCTGTCTTTTGTTATTTGTTTCTTTTCTGCTTTCTTTTGGAGTAAATAATCTTTTTACTGCCATTTTAACTCAGCATTTTCTTTTTTTTTGTTTCTTTCTTTTGGTACCAGGACCAAACTCAGGATTTTGAGCTTGCCAGGCAAGGGCACTAATACTAAGGGTACATCCCTGGCCCTTAACTCAGCATCTTCTCCATGGTTTCTGATATACAATCTTAACTCACAAGAAAGCTGGAGCAGCTATAATAATCAGACAAAGGAGATGTGGGAACAAAGGACATTCCTAGGGTTAAGGAGGGACATTTCAAACTAACATTTCAATTTATCAAAAGGCATAATCCTAAATGTATATTCACCTAAAAACAGCTTCAAAATTAATGAAGAAAAAAAAAGTGACCAAAAGGAAAGGAGAAGGCATGGTGGTACACACCAGTAATACTAGCACTTGGGAGGCTGAGGCAGGAGGATCACTGTCAGTGTGAGGCCAGCCTAGGCTACATAGTGAATTCAAAGGGAGCCTGAATTACACAGTGAGACCCTGTCTCAACAAACAAAAACAAAAACCCTGAAATCTATATAACCCTTAAAGAATTTAATTCTTTTTTTTGGTACTGGGGATGGAATTCAGGACCACTGACCTAAATCCCCAGCCCAAAGGATTTAATTCCTTTTTGTTTCTGAGACAGGGTCTCATTATGCAGTTTAGACTACACTAGCCTTGAACTCGTGGCAATCCTCCTGGCAATCCTCCTGCCTCGGCTTCTCAAGTGCTGGGATTACAGGCACACACCATCATGCCCAGCAAGAATGTTTTTTCTTTTTGGTACCAGGAGTCGAACTCAGGACCTCCAGCTTGCTGTGCTGTACTGCTGAGTCACATTCCTGGATCCAGGGAATTCTTCTTCTTTTTTTTTTTTGTTACCAGGATCATACTCAGAACCTTTCGCTTACAAGACACGTGGCAGCACCACTGAGCTAAATCCCCGACCCAGGGAATTTAATTCATTTTTTTTTTTGGTACCAGGGATTGAACTTGGGTCCTTGCACTTGCACAACAGGCAGCGAAGGCACTGAGCTAAATGCCCCGCCCAGGGAATTTAATTCTTAACTAAACAAAATTCCCTGTAAGGACAGCTCCAATCCTAGATGGTTTAAGGTAAATTCTATCCAACATTTAAAGAAGAAACAATACTAATCCTTTAAAAAAAAAATCACTTTCCAAGTCATTTTATAAATTGGCATTACTGTGACACAGGCCAAAGACAAAGTCTTACATGTGTAAGTTACTAAGAATGGCTGGAGAGGGCTGGGGATTTAGCTCAGTGGTTCCGGCGCCTGCCTCGAAAGCCCAAAGTCCCGAGTTCGATCCCCGGTATCAAAAAAAAAAAAGAATGGCTGGAGATCTGGGTGCAATGGCACACACCTATAATCCCGGCACTCTGGGAAGCTAAAAACAGAAGGATCACAAGTTAAGAGTTTAGCCTGGGAAACTTAGCAAGACCCTGTGTCAAAATATAAATTTTTTTTAAAAAACAGGGTTAGGGATGTAGCTCAGTGCAAAAGTCCAGGGTTAATTCTAGTCCTTAAAATAAATAAATATATAATTAAATGAATAAATGAATGGCTGGGGAATAAGATACACTGTATAAATTTCCTTCAATTCTTTCCTTTCTGTGAGAAATATCTAACATGTTTTGGGTCCTCCTCTTCGTCCAAAGAGAAGAATATACTACTGAATGTAATATGTTCTTAATATCATTCTACTGATACTGTGAGAAGCAATGAATAGTCTCTCTTTTCTCTTCCCTCCCCTCAATGCTTGCCTTCCTCCTCTGCTGAACATCAACACATAAAGCAGCATAAAAAGAAATGTTGAGGACATCCTAAAATAGCTTCTCTCTATTCCACTTCCTTCTCTACTCTGAAGAGGAGCAATAATACCAGGGAAGAGAGAAAAAAGGGCAAAAAGCAGACACTCCAAAGCACTTGGGGTGACAGGGCTTTCCATCGTGATCTTGCCACAACAGACTCTGCTGTCTTAACAACCAAAATACACTGGTAAAAGGTTTAAGAAGAAAAAAACTAGGGTAGGTTGCTGAGGGTTGAGAGGAATCATGTGAAAGTAGAAATCATATCCTCGGGTATAGCAGCCACGCAGGTGACTGTAAAGCCAGTCTGATGTGATCAGTTAGTGGCAGTGGATATAGGGAGAAAGTACAGTGCAATCCCTACTAAAAAACACTGGATTTTCTAAAAACCATTGGGTTGCACCAATCAAAACAGAACTTTTTCTGTAAGATACAGATGTTTACTTGTGCTGCAAAAGAAGTATGAGACAAAGCTCCTAGGGTATGAGCAGACTGTAATGAGGTAGCAAGAGAATCAGGAACGCTACACTGGTAGTTGCATGGGGGTCCATCTGGTTAGTGGGGGATAGAGTGTCACGGTGACTAAGAACATGCAGAATGTGTGTGTCTTCCATGTGTGTAACCACCATGTGTGGGTAGCTGGTTTAATTGCATTTACCAGTTTTTCTCAGCATTATCAATGGCTCCAAATTTCCAAAAACCACTAATTCTTTTTTTTTTTTGGTACCGGAGATCAAACTCAGGTACTTGTGCAGCAGGCAGTGAAACCATTGAGCTAAATCCCTGGCCCCAAAAACCACTAATTCTGAAACAAAATCTAGCCATATGGCATAGATCACTTAAATATTTTAAATTGATTTAAATTCCCTTTAATAACTTTCCAGTAATTTCCAAATATATGTTCTCCAATAAGTACACACAGGAATTTACCTCTGCTTCTCTTTTCTTTGCCCGTGCTTTCTCTACTTCATCCATTACTTTCTGGGATTCTTCCACATTCCCTTCAGCTCCTAGTTGTTCCACTTTGGCTAATAATTTACCAATTTCTTCATTTAACTCATGAACACGTTCTGCCTAGAAAGAAATAGAAGATCATGAATAACAAAATGAATATGAAACTTCAAAGTATTTCAGAAATGCTCAAAAAATATTTGTTATCTAAGGCAGTATGACTATAAGTAATGTTTTGCAGTATATCTTGAACTGGTGAATAAAAGATAGATAATAGGAAGAGGGAGGTATACTTTGCAAAGATGGGTAAGGGTCTGGGGATGAGAGGAGAAAGGAAGGCAAGGAGAAGGGGAAATAAAAATGATTAAGGTACGATATGTCTGTGTACCAATTCCCCATGATGAATGTAATTATTATGTATTGCAAACATATACTAATAAAAATATATGTAAATGAAAAAAAAGAAACTGGTAAAACACCAGGATGTTTTCAACCTACCTACTTTCACCTCTGTAAGATCAAGGATACTAGATCTCAATGTAACTTCTACTGTCTAGGCTAGGCTTAGGTATTACAAGTTTCTTCCATGATCTGTCCCTCTGCACCTTCCCAAAGCATTTCTTAATGTTCTTTCCAACTTTTAACACAATCTAAATTATATTGTTTCCCAGACTTGCCCTGGTGTTTTCTGCCTGGGACTTTGCACGTGCTTCCTGGGATGTCACCCATTACCACCCGCCTCCCCTGAGTGACTATTCAGTGTTCATTGATTCAGCAAGATCTAAATGAAGTCTCTTTTCAGAGGCATCCCTGAACAATCACATCCCGTCTCCACTTAAACACGCAAGTACAGATGATGACAATACCCTCCCCTTTGTATCTTTTTTGACAAGTACTTGTACACATGGCATACTTTATGACAGCCATCTGAATTTGTCATCTTTGTATCTCCAGTGCCCATCAAACAGCACAGGCTCTTATGTGCTAGAGAAATGAATTGGTGGATATTCTGTAAAGCAATGGTCGGACACTTTAGGAGTCCCATAAATGTGGATTATTGCTGAACCAATTATTAACTACGTAATTTTCGCCACTCAGTTAAACGCAAATGTATTTTCCTCATCTGAGAAGTAGAAATAATACCTATCCCACAAAGTCCTGAGAAAACACACTTTGTACATCTACTGCATAGTAATGGTTTTCAGTACATTAGCAGGGCAGCCCCTCCTACAGTCTATACCTTTCCATTGGATTAATTCTTGCCCCAGGTTTGATATAATCATTATAACCATTATCATCCTGGGAAACTAGTTCATTCTACTATGTGGCCAATTATATTAGCAAACAAAGTTTTAATTTGATATGAACACCAAATCCCAACCAACTTGTGTGCTCATGATTTTTCTCAGTTCTTTCAATCCAAGATACTCCTTTCTTCAGAGATTCCCAAGTCTTATTATCATTAAATCTCTGCCACTGAATGACCGCATTAATGCCCAGGGATCTTCACCCTTTCCTGTATCCATGTCCTTTGCATGTAACTGGGTATTGCACCCTGTACTCCACTCTGAATTTGGCCACACACAAGGTTTTGGTTACTGGAATGGTAGCAAGCATGACCCAAAGAAGTCTTGAAAAGCCTTTATTTATTTATTTTTTTGGTACTGGGGATCAAACTTGGGACCTTGCACTTACAAAGCAGGTGGTGGAACCACTGAGCTAAATCCCCGACCCTTGAAAACCCTTTAGAGAATGGGCATGATGATTCTCTGCAGCTCTGCCTTGACCATGAGAACACAGCCAGGCCAGCCTCCTGAACATAATCAGTAGCCTCCAGCTGACTGAAGACATGTAACAGGACATACCCAGTTGACACAAGAATAAGTGTCCGGTCAAGATCAGTCTAAATGGATTACAGACAAATGGACAAAATAAATAATGTTTTAAGTCACTTTAATCTTGAGGCAGTTTCATTATATAGCACTTCTGCAGTGATAATCAATAGTGTTGTACAACCAATCAGCTTCAGCCTACCACATTATTATGGATCTTTTTTAACCACAAGATACTAGCTAGAGCTTGTGGTTCAAGATGCATATTTTTATAGTCCCCATCTTCAGAGAACTTTTCAGGAAAAGGCTAGCTAAAATTAACTCTTTCCTTGAACAAAGGAACCTACTTCCCTTTGTATATGTGTATGTGAAAACCGTATCTGGGGCTGGGGATTTAGCTCAGTGGTTCCACCGCCTGCCTCGCAAGCATGGGGACCCAAGTTCAATCCCCAGTACCAAAAAAAAAAAAAAAAAAGAAAAGAAAACTGTATCTGAATGCTGTCATCTGAAATTTACCTGGGAAATCCTCTCATTTTCCATTTTCCTAAATGCACCAGATTATAATGAATGGTACAGAACCATGTTATGGAGCAGAAAGTAGTAAGCCAACCAAATTCAATATATAGAGCTTTGTTTAGCTTAGGATTACAAAAATTAGCTCTATATAGGAGAATGAACATATCTGGCTATTAGCATTTAAAAATACTGTTAATTTGGGGATGTAATATTATGGTTGTTTTACTAGCAAAATATAACAGCTAGGATTTGCTTTTAAGCAAATAAAGCAATAATGAAACAATAACAGAAAACTGAAGGCTTTGAAACTTGGTGCTGGATCCACTCTACTTTTCCTATAATTATAGCATGTGGTGAGTTCACAAAACATTTTTAAAAAGTAGTGAGTCAAAACATGAAGAACAACACTCAAAACTCAACATTTAAAAAGCCAAAAAAGGCCAGGGATTTAGCTCAGTGGTTCCGCCACTTGCCTCGCAAGCACAAGGACCCGAGTTTGATCCCCAGTACTAAAAATAAATAAATAAATAAAAAGCCAAAAAATCAATTAGAGAATGGGCAAAAGATCTATGAAGACATTTCACTGAAGAGCACATACAGATAGCAAGTATACACATGACATCCAACATCATTAGTCGTGGGGGAAACGCAAACTGAAAGCCGTCCTACAGGGCTATCAGACAGATAAAAACTGAAACATGGTTGCTATGAAATGCTGGCACAGACATGGAAAAACTGTATCACTCACACATTGCTGGTAGGAATGTGAAATGGTACAGTCACTCTAGAAAAGACTGGCAGTTGCTTTCAAAACTAAAGACAGATTTATATTATGACCCAGCCATTACATTCTTGGGTATTTATCCTAAAGAAATGGAAGCATATATCAATAAAAAAATCTATACACAAATAGTTACTGCAGTTTTGTTATTAGCCATTAAGTAGACAACCACGCAAATGTCCTTCAATGTGTCAACTGTGTTATATCTAACACCATGTTACTCTACTCAGAAATAAAAAGGAATGAACTCCCAAAACATACAACTTGCATGAACTTCAAGGTACTAATGGCTAGTCAATATGCCAATCTCAAAAGGATAATGTACAGGGCCAGGGATGTAGCTCAGTGGTGTGGCACCTGCCTGGCAAGCGCAAGGTCCTGGAGTTTGATTCCCAGTACTTGGTGGTGGTGGTGGTGGGGGGATAATGTACAATTATACCACACAGTATTTACAAAATAATAATGAAAGAGATGAAGAATAAATTAGTGGTTGCCAAGGGGTAGGGATTGGGGGATGGATGCTTCCATAAAAGGGGTAACTGAGGGAATCTTAGTGATGATCCTACAGATAAACATCTTAATTAAGGTGATAGGTACACAATTTTGCATATGATATAACTGCACAGAACCATATATACATGCGTGCAAGCACAAATGAATCCATGCATAATTAGTTAATGCTGAACAAAATAGAAGGATTAGCCCTATGTCAATTCTATGATATCACACTACAGTTGTCTCAGATGTTAATGCTGGGTTCGTCAAAGAAAGTATACACAGAATTCCTATGTCTTTGGAATCTCCTGCAAATCTACTCCAAAATAAAAAGTTAAACAGAAATAGCGGGCTGAAACTACACTTTGACAAAGCATGGTGGTATACGCCTGTAATCCTAGCACTTGGTAGGCTGAGGCAGAAGGATCGCCATCCTGGGATATAGATTGAGTTCAAAGCCAGCCTGAATTACACAGTGAGACCCTGTCTCAAAACACCAAAAAAAAAAAAGAAAAGAAATAGAAAAAGAAACTACATTTTGTCCTAATGATGGAGATTCTTACCTTTGCAGCCACTTCAGCACTAATCTCTTCTTGAGTTTCTGCTAATCTTTTCTTAGCCACTTCTGTTCTTCGATCACAATCTGCAATAAATGACTGCAGATGATCCATGGCCTACAAAATTGAAATTTAAAAAATTACTGCTTGAATGTCAACTTTACTCTGAGATATCTTTATTTAGGACTGGGTATGGTGGCACATGCCTGTAATCCTAGCACTCAGGGACAGAACAGAAGAATCCTAAATTTGAGCTCAGCCTAAGCAATTTAATGAGACTGTCTTGGAATTAAAAATAAAAAAAGAGCTAAGGACATAGCTCAGTGTGAAGGACTAAGTTCAGTCTCCAATAACATGAAAAAATTAATCTTGGCCTGGGATTTATCTCAGTGGTTCCACCACCTGCTTCAAAAGTGCAGGTCCCAAGTTCGATCCCTGGTACCAATAAATAAATAAATAAATAAATAAATCTTTATTCAAAAACTGTACTTTGTTTTGTTTTTTTGGTACCTGGGATCAAACTCGGGACCTTGCGCTTGCCAGGCAGGTGGCAGAGCCACTGAGCTAAATCCCTGGCCCTCAAAAACTATACTTTGGCTGGTCGTGGTGGCTCACATCTCTAGTACTAGCACTAAGAAGGGTAAGGCAGGAGGATCACCACGAGTTCAAGGCCAGTCTGAACCTCACAGTGAGACCCTGTTTCAAAACAAAACAAAACAAAACAAAACAAAACAAAAAAAACTATACTCAGGTTTTTGTTTGCTTTTTTGGGTTGTTTTTGTTTTTTAAAGGGTCTTGCTATGTAATCCAGGCTGCGTGAACTCATGGTGATCCCCTTGCTTGAGCCTCCCAAGTGCTGGGATTACAGGTATGTGCCACTACACCCCATTTATACTTTATTGTTTTAAAAATGCTACCATGGGGCCAGGGATTTGGCTCAGTGGTTTCGCTGCCTGCTGCGCAAGCACAAGGACCCGAGTTAAAACTCCAGTATCAAAAAAAAAAAAAAAAAAGCTACCATGGAAGTAAATCAATTATGCCAGGTTCAATTACGAATCTAAAATGCAATTTGACTTCTACCAAACTGGCAAAGAGTAAAAGATAATTCCAGAAAAGTAAGGCTATAAAAAATTACCACCTTCATCTTCTGCTGAAGCAAGTACAAACCAATGGAGCCTTTATAAAAAGGCAATGGGGGCCCGGGGATTTGGTTCAGTGGTCCCACCACCTGCCTCGCGAGCACAAGGTTCCAAGCTCCATCCCCAGTACCAAAAAACAAAACAACAAAACAAAACAAAAGGCAATGGGTTTTTTTTCTCATCAAAAACCCTTTAAAGGGCTGGGATTTAGCTCAGTGGTGCTGCGACCTGCCTCCCAAGCACAAGGTCCCAAGCTCAATCCCTGGTACCAAAAAAAAAAAAAACCCTTTAAAATTTCTGACATAGTAAAATTTTACTTCCCTGAAGGCTGAGGATGTAACAGAGCTTAATGGAAAAGTGCTTGGTAAGCACTTACAGGGCCCCAGGTTCAATTCCCAGTACGCAAAACCAAACAACCAAAAACCAAACGAATGAAACGAAGAAGGGGCAGGAGGACTAAAGAAAGAAAAGAGAGGGCAGGGGATAATATTTAGAGATGTTATTCAGTGTTACTCAGTATTACAACTGTGGAAAGTAAATAACCAGCCAACACCACGAATTTCTGATCTTCAGTCATTTAAAAAGACATGCTTGAGGAATACGGCAATATTCAGGATTCACCCATAAATAAAAGGCAAGTTACAAAATGTTATATGTAATAAAATCCCCATTATATAAATTAAAGAAGCATAAAAAAAGAAAATGTTAATTATCTGAACATTTTGATAGTTTTTACTTATTTGTTTTCTGTTTTTCAAACATTCCACAGTGAAAATGTTACAACCAGGAAAACAAACTTTTTTTTCAAAGATTAAACCACTAGGAATTTTCAAAATGACTAAACTAGAAAAATCCAGCTCGGGCCTGGGATTGAGTTCAGTGGTTCCACCACCTGCCTCGCAAGTGCAAGGTTCCGACTTTGATGCCCGGTACAAAAAAAAAAAGAAAAATCCAGCTCAATATTTATGTAAAAAACATTCATAAGGCATAGTCAACATATCTATGGTTAAATGATAATTCATGTAAAATTAAACTTTAAATAACTGTTTAGTTAAAAATACAAATTTCTTCAGCCCAGACATTTAAAAAATTGTTAGCTCCCCAGTACCAAAAAAAAAAATTGTTAGGTAATCCAAGAATTTATTCGAAGAGAATATAAACCATGTGAGTATTTCTAAAAAGCAATAAAGATCATTTAAAAGCTTTTATTTAAACCACAAGGAGTGGTGCACATCTGTAATCCCAGCACTCTGGTAGGCTAAGGCAGGAGGCTCACAAACTCAAACCTAGCCGTGGCAACAATGAGTTTGTCTAAAAAATAAAAATGTTGGGGGATGTAACTCAGTATAAAGGCCCTGGTTTCAATCTCCAGTACCACCACCACCATCACCACCCCCCAAAAAAAAAAGAAAAGGCTTTTGTCTGTAATGACACAGAAGACAGCTATTTATTTTCTATTTTGTCAAATTCATCTTTTCATTAAATCACAACAGAAATCTATTTAAATTTCCTCATGTGAACATAAACATAGCCTCTCAAAAAAGAGAAACAGACTAATTAAATTGTGTTAGGTCAACTAAGCAGCTATTTAAAAGCTGAGAGGAAACTAGAATACAACCTCAATTTCTTGGAGCAGAATACAGGAATGGATAAAGAATTTAAGTATGTAAAATGAAGCCAAAGCCTGTAACCCAGCATCTTGGGAGGCTGAGGCAGCAGGATTGTGAATTTGAGGCCAGCCTGGGCTACTTAGTAAGTTTAAGCCCAATCTGGGCTACATAGTAAGACCCTATCTCAAAAAGAAGCTAAAAATAATACTGTTCTGAGACAGGGTATCCCTAAATTGCCCAGGCTGGCCTCAAATTGCCTCACCCTCCCAAGTAGCTGAGATTATAGCTCACCACACCCAACAAGCTTCCCTATTTTTATACAATCAATTCTCATATAAAATCAACAATATAAAATTATATCAGGGCCTTTTCAGATACCTAAATGGTATCTTCTATTTTATTAGTTTTACATTAAAAACATAGTTCTTAATACCCTGATATATATGTATATAAAATATATAGGTAACAAGCCAGGTATGGGGGTACATACCTGTAATCTCAACACTCTGAGTGGCGAAGGCAGGAGGACTAAAAGTTCAAACCCCACCTGGGAAACTTAAACTCTATCTCAAAATTGAAATAGGGGGCCGCGGATTTAGCTCAGTGGTTTTGATGCCTGCTGCGCAAGTACAAGGACCCAAGTTTGATCCCTGGCACCAAAAAAACAAAAAACAAAAAAAGGGCTGGGGATTTAGCTCAGTGGTTTCGCCGCCTGCTGCGCAAGCGCATGGACCCGAGTTCGACCCCCCAGTACCAAAAAAAAAAAATTTGAAATAGGGCAGGTGGCAGGGGAGAGGGGAGGAATAGGAATGTAGCTAGGTGTGAAGGCCCTGGGTTCAATCACTAGTGTTAGAAAAAAAAGGTAATATAAAAATGAATCTGAACAATCTCAGTAGACTGCAAAAGAAGGACCTTATATGCATTAGAAATTAGTTGCTTATATTTGTTGAAATTACTATTTCCTAAATCATTATCATCAGGAAGAATATGTTTACAAAACATAATAATTGCAGGGCTTCTACACATTTCTTAAAAATCCCCGACTTAGTCAGATGTGGTAACCCACTTGTAATCTTAGCTCTCTGGGAGGCTGAGGCAAAAGGATCACAAATTCAAAGCCACCCTGGGCAATTTAGTGAAATCCTGCCTCAAAATAAATAAAAGGGCTTGGAAGCCCAACATACTGGCACATGCCCGCAATTCCAGCACTCTATAGGCTGAGGCAGGAGGATCACCTTGAATTCAAGGCCAGCTTGGGCTACATATCTAGTTCAGGACTGGCCCAAACTAGACCTAGACCCTGCTAAAAGAACAAAAAACAAAAAAAGCCCAAAGGACTGGAGATAAAGCTCAGAGCAAAGGTCTCTACGTTCAATTTCCAGTACTAGGGAGAAAAAAATCTCAGTCCCATACAATTTTACAATGTGTTTTATAATGTATTGACAAAAAACCACTACTTGATTTCACTTGAGTATCATCCTTCACATAACCACAGAGAATAATTTGCTAATAAATTTCCTACTATGATACTAATATATACTACAAATATTTTACAGCAAAAAGATAATATAATCCATTAAAGCAAAAATACATACATCAAGTTCAAAGAAAAAATCCTGTTCTTTGGATGCAATTTCATAATCTGCTCTTAAAGCCAGGTCATGAACTTTCAGACATTCTCCAAGATCCATTCTCTAGGTAAGAAAAAAAGAAAGACATATTGACACAGAAAATATATTTTTAAGAATTCATTAACAGTCAGTTCTCTTCATAATACATATTAAGTCATACAGATGTTTAGTTATAGACCTTCAAATTATAAAATTTCAGACAAGTATAAAACTTGGTGTTAGAGAAAAATAGCACCATTCTATCTAACAGATGGGAACAGAATCATTTTTGTACTTAAGAGCAAATGAGTGAGCCAGGGATGTAGCTCAGTGGCGCTGTGCCTGCCTGGTGAGTGAGTACAAGGTCCTGAGTTCCATCCCTGGTACCAAAGGGGGTTAAAAAAAAAAAAAGCAAGTGAGAAAGGAAAAGGCTTTCAAAATCTGAAAAAGCTTCTAGCTTCTATATCACAACATAATACATAACATAGTTATTTATTAATAAGACCCAGTATAAATTCACAAAGAACAAGTATCTATCAGAGAAATAAAATACTCATACTAAACCCAGCATCCTTCTACTTAGAATTTCAAATTAGACATCATTTATCAAACCAGAGTCTTTTCTCATATCTGGGACAAAATCAAATCCCTAAAAATCTATCCTCTTTGCATGTGGAAACTGACAAGATCTTTCATGAAATCCTTTGGGAGGAAAAAAAAAAAAAAAAAAAGCAAAATGCACAGGTAATTAAGTATGTGAGGAATGGGTGATCAACCTAAGGAAGAGACTTTCCAACCAGAGGTATACACCTCCACCCCTGGAATGTCTGTCTCTGGAGGGTTAGTGAAAAAGGAGAACAATAAGTCAAAACAGTACAGTAAATATTCCTTTCATTTGTTACAAGCTATCTACAAAATGAAAGTACAACAAAACACTGACAGCAGTAAGGACATTCCTTCAATTAATAACTAGGTAACTACTTAAGGATACAGTGGTAAGGGACACAGTCTCTGGCTTCATGAAGCTTGCATTCTTTTGTAAAAATAAATTTTATTGGTACACTTTAGATATACACAACGATCACATTCATCATATGGAATTTGTACCTACTCACAATATAACTTGATTCTTTTCCCCCCAACCCCCTCCCATCCCTTCAACCTTTCTCCCCTTACTTACAAAAGCTTTGTTTCTATTTTGGAGCCTGCATTCTTGAAGACAGAAAAATAATAAATCTCAGCACTCAGGAGGCTGAGACAAGAGGATCACTGTGAGTTCAAGGCCAGCCAGGTCTACAGTGAGTTCAAGAGCAGCCTGAACCACATAGCAAGACCCTGTCTCAAAAAACAAAAATTCTGAACAATTAATACACCAGATAGAAATAAATCTAATCTGATTTTTTAAAAATGTATTATAAAGGCCTGGGATTTAGCTCAGTGGTTTCGCCGCCTGCTGCGCAAGCGCAAGCACCTGAGTTCGATCCCTGGTACCAAAAAAAAATGTATTATAAGCAACATGAGAAATCACTACTGAAGACAAGTTTCATTTTGTTTTTGTGAGACAGGGTTTCCCTTTGTAGTTCAGGGTGCCTTGAACTCACTATGTAGCACAGGCTGGCTTCAAACTCGTGGTGATCCTCCTGCTCAGCCTCCCAGTGCTGGGATTACAGGTGTGCACCACCACACCTGGCTTTACTGAAGGCTAATTTTAAAAGCAAACTCCTAATTGGGTATCGTGACACATGCCTTTAATCTTGAGTCTGAAGCAGGAGGATTGCTGTAACTTTGAGGGCAGCCTGGGTTACACAGTGAGCTCAGATCAGCCTGAACTACATTAACAATCAATACCCAGGCTCAAAAAACAAAAATAATAAAAATTAAACCAGGGGCCAGGGATTTAGCTCAGTGGCACCACACCTGCCTTGCAAGGGGAAGGTCCTGAGTTTGATCCCTGGTACCAAAAAACAAAAACAACAACAAAATTAAACCAAACCTCTGCCTTCCAAATAACACATTCTGTGTGCTGACACATTTCAAAGGAAATATGAATAAACTAGATGAAATGTGTCAACACCAAGCCATGCAGAAGAACCTGGTATCAGAGGTGAATAGGGAAATGCAAATCAAAATTACAAAGATTCCATCTTATCCCAGACGAAATGGCCATCATGATGTTCACTTTGGCAGCACATACATATACTGAAAGTGGAAAGAACGGCTATCGTCATGAATACAAAAAGCAAGGGGCCAGGGATGTAGCTCAGCAGTACAGCGCCTGCCTGGCAAGAATGAGGTCCTGAATTAGATCCCCGATACCAAAAAAAAAAAAAAAAGAAACCAAAGAATACAAAAAGCAAATGCTGATGAGGATATAGAGCAAAAGGGTATTGCTATGTCAAAATATGAACCTAATTAGCAATCAACTGAAAAACTTCTCATAAACAAGCAGAAATAAATTTATCATGGCTTCAATGGTCTCCAGAGAGTCGGGTTTTAACTCTTTCAAAGTTAAAAGAAAATTTCTAATAATTAGAGCCTTACAAAGAAAGATGGAACAAGGTTTCTTGTTAGTGAGTCCCCAGATAACAGGTTCAAACACAGCTTTGCCAACAATTTATTTAGGATATTGAGGGGAAAATTCAATCTGGTACCTTTTATTTTTCCTTTTAACTCTTGAGATTTTATGATTAGTGTTAAGAAGCACTATTTCTCTATAAAACTATTTTACACACAATTCTTAAATTACATATAGGAATGAACAGAAAAGTAAAACTAGTGCCCCTGAAGTTTTCCTTTAAGAAATAAGGCAGAGGGCCGGGGATTTAACTCAGTGGTTTCGCTGCCTGCTGCACAAGTGCAAGGACCCGAGTTCGATCCTCAGTACCAAAAAAAAGAAAAAAGAAATAAGGCAGATAAGCTTAGCACAGGTGGTGACCACAGGTAGTGCACACCTGTAGTCCCAGAACTCAGGAGGCTGAGGCAGGAAGAGTGTCATGGGTTTGAGGCCAGCCTGGGCTAGTGAGTTCAACACAGCCTGAGCTACATAGTGAGACCCTATCTCAAAACCAACAAACAAACAAGGCAGACACACAAGCTCAATATTGCATAGCTTCTCTTATATGAGAAACAATATGTACAAATAAAGAGTGAACTAGGAAAGAAATAAAAGTAGGGAGAAATTCAAATACTTCTCCAAATTATATATTGTTGTTTAAAAAATAATGCAATATATATGCTAATTTTTCATTTATACTGAAGTTTCTTTTTTGTAAGAATCTTTTTTATGTCTTGTACTAATCTGAAAATGTCCAGACAGTGTAATAACTATTGTTATTCTCTTATCTATGAAAATTTCTTTTTTCGTAAAAGAAAAAAGAAAAGCCATTAAAAAGTTCTCATCGCCCTAATTGTTTTAAAACACTGTGGGGCCAGGGATTTAGCCCAGTGGTTCCAGCGCGTGCCGCGCAAACTCAAGGTCCCGAGTTCAATCCCTGGTACCAAAAAAAAAAAGGGAAAAGAAAAAGTAGTAGAGGGCCAGGGATTTAGCTCAGTGGCACTGCGCCTGCCTTGCAAGCCTAAGGTCCTGAGTTCGATCCCCGGTACCAGGAAAAAAAAAGTAGTAGAAAAATACTTAAAGCCTCCCTTTTTTAAACACATTGGTGACTGAACTCTGGGCCTTCACACTGAGTTATATCCCTGGCCTATCTGCCTGCCCATCGGCCCATGTGCCCATCCATCCGCCCACCCACCTATCTATGAGACAGGTTTCCCTAACAAGCCCAGCACTCCTAAGTGTTTTTAGTGTGCAGAGTTGGGAACTACTAACCCATCTAGTTTCATTCTCATTCTCTGCACAGAAAGAGTAACTTGTTCAGGGTGTTTATTACAAAACCTGGCTAGACTGTTAGACTAACCTCGCTTTCACTTTATCATTCTAGTTCCAATGATTTCAGTGCTTAGTATTTTTCAATCATCTTCCATAATACAGTACCTAGAAAAAGCTCTCTGCACAGACATCCAAAGCTGTCTTTTTACCAGACAGTTCCCTTACCTTTATCCCATAACTCCATGTCCAATATGCTCTCAATAAAAATTTGCAATATAAACTCTGCCTCACCTGAATACCCTTGTCTCTATGACAGGAACCCCAGGATAACTCTCTCCCCTCCTTAAATTTATATCATGCAACCAAAGAAAAGGCAACTGTGTGGTTTATTTTTTATTCTATTTTTTTCCAGTACCAGGGATCGAGCTCAAGACTTTGCACTTGCCAAGCAGGCGTGGCACCGCTGAGCTATATCCCTGGCCTTACAACTGTGTGATTTAAAAACAAAGGCTAGGAAGGCTGGGGATTTAGCTCAGTGGTTTCACCGCCTGCTGCACAAGCACAAGGACCCGAGTTTGATCCCTGGTACCAAAAAAACCAAAAAATAAAAAAACAAAGGCTAGGGATGCAGCCAGGGGTACAGCACTTGCCTAGTATGCACAAGGCCCCTGGGTTTGGCCCCCAGCACTACAACAACAAAACAAACAAAAGGACACAATTATACCACTATAGTAGGGATTGAGTTTGGTGAGAGTAGAGTTGGGAGGAAGGTCTACCTTGAGATGGAATATGGGAAGGGAAGAACATGAATTTACTGGAATGTGAGCTCTACAAGGGTGAGGATTGTTCTATGCATGATATACCTATGGCTGGCACACATGACTCCTTAGTAAGTATTCTGTTAAGTGAACAAGACTGAGAAAAGAGTAGGAAACATCTGGCACAGGGGCAGAGCAAGTTGGGGCAGGGGTGCAGAAGCATTCCAGAACAAAGCCAGTCTTGGCTTCTGGAAGGGAGGCACCTACCCTCTCCTTGGATTCTCTCCTTTTGCTTGGACTCTTTTCCTTCCTATGCACTTAATCTTTTTTTTGTTTTCTTCTTTTCTAAGAGGCAGAATACTTGGGTTTGTGACTATCCTGAGCTCTTGCAATTTTAGTCTGGCATGTCTTAAGTGCTCATCTCTTCTGGCACCTAGTAGGTCAGTGTGTGGCGCAAGGCCAAATTTTGGCATTCTAGATACCAGTCATCTATGTTCCTT